TGGTTGTGATGTGACCAGTGAGCGGTTAGGACCTCTATGCTACGTCCTCACGTAGAAGCATTTTGATCGCGGGTTCATGAGAGTTACATCTTGATGCGCCTCGCCTCGCATCCACGCCGTGCCCACTCTCTCACAGCCACTTGTTGAGTTCAGCCACTCGCAGCCGCTTTCAGCCACTCTCAGCCATTCGGGTCCTGACTGTGAGAGGCTGCGCGCAACGAAAGGCAGCGAGTGGCTGGGAGCGGATGGACACAAATGATGCTCCGCTGGCTGCCTGTGAAAACACGTTCAGCATTCAGCAGAGAGCACGTCTCGTACATGAACTCATGTATGCGTGACTTTTCGTTGTATATCGGGGGCATCAGATTGACGACTCAACTCTCCAGGACTGGAATGACAATGGGACATGGGCTGGATTTGTGGAGGCTGCCAGGTGCTCAGGTGGCCAGTTTTGCCAAAGCACCTGTCTTCCTAGCACTGCGTTATTTGTTGCATTCCGCTGACATGTTTGAAAAAAATGCCTGGCAGAACCCGCAGCTGCAGACCCTTGCGGGAGCGCGCGAAAGTGATCCACTTGTTAGATAAGGTGAAGGACAAATTCGGCTACATCAGGGCAGATGACGACAGCCACCCTGCAGCACTGGTAGCATGGAGAGCTGCGCAGCCTCGTATCCAATACCACCCAACGTGTGTGGCAAGGTCGGGTCTTCATGCTGCCTTCCACTTGCCATGATTGGAACGGTGAAATGCCACAAGTTGGGACCAGAGTGGTGTTCCAGCCACTTGGGCTGAACAATGTGGCCGTCGATGGAGTTGCAAAGGCTGTTGCACGTGCCAGGTCGAAGGAGAGCACGAGAGGAAGAGACCCTGTTACCACAAACGTGTGGAATGAGCATGGCAACTCTTCAGGCTGGGGGCTCACCCTGAAGTAGCTCGACAAATTTATTCCAGCTTCCGCACCATTGCTGGTTCAAGGGGTGCGTAAACACGAAGGTAAGAGGCCGTCCTTCCCGAAAAGGACGTCCCCCGCACGCTTGGTTTTTGAAACGGCGTTCTCTTGCGTAACTCCGTTTCCACATGAGTGACATACGCACGCCAAATGCGCCGACACTAGCTCAGTATTTGTTTAGCTCCTTCATAGCACGCATGCGGATATTGAGTTCTACGACTTCTTGGGTTGAAGGCTATCCCGTTTGCACAAAGCAGTTTTTCACTGCCCTTTGCCATATGTTGCCATATGTTGCCATACAGTTCCGGTGCAGGCCCCTCGCGCTCGCAGGCGGGCTAGACACCATTGCAAGCTCATGGGATGCTAAGCCACAGATTTAGCAATCGTTCCAGGCCTGGGGGCCACGCTGGAATGACAAGCCGTGGGCTTACAATGAAAGCTTCAGCATGAGTTGGTCAGCATATTCACTCCGGCATTTGCACTGAGGAAGTGGCAGTCAGATGACACACCGGAAGCCGAGCCTGCTCAAACCTTCCAGGGAACAATGAACAAGGACATGGGCCATTTCGGCTTCATAAATCAGGACTGCCGACTGTGTGAAAGCGCCTCAGTGCCCTGTACTTCAAGTGTGAAACTTGGCGGTTGCTTGCAGCAGATACGGATTTTTTTCAGATGCCCCCCATGGTCTTTGAGGATGTTACCAGGAGGCGACATGTCTTATACGAACCAGCGGCATTTTCACGTCACATACTCAGCCTGGCCGTGCTTAAAGTCTAATTTGTTCGCAGCGAAGGATCCCGATGACACTGGAGAAGTCGTGGAGATGTTTGTTTTGCCGTGGGCGTGCCGCAATGGTGAGCTGCCACCACTAGGGGCTCGAGTGGAGTACACCATCGTGATAGATGGCAAAACTGGAAGACCACGCGCAGAGGATGTGGTGATGGAAGGCTAGGGCAAGGTAGGTCAAGAGCCAGGCTCGAGAAAGTTGCTTAAGCTGCCCGTTTTGCGGAGGTTGGGCCAGTGAGCAAGAGCCAGAGGAAGAAGGCGACTTCCCGGAACCTCAACCTGGGGAGATTTGCTTCGGGACTTTGATCAAGGCGTTTCTTGACCGAAGAGATGCAGAGGCGAGCAGTAAGAAGCCATTCAAGACTTGATGTGCCGTTGTCGTACAACTTGAGGAATGATGCTCGTGGCGTGGTTCGGATGGACAACTCCAATGAGCAAGTCTCCGTGTCATCGTCCGACTGCAACATTGACTGGGATGAGCATATCTTTTCTTGTTTCTTTATTGGCTGGTGTGTGAGTGTGCCCGCGCACCAAAACACGGGTTTGTGTCAGGCCGGTTGGAAAATATCATGGCACCGTTGTGCAACTGAGAGCGTTACGATAGTTCTTTGGGACACCACCAGTTACTTGGTCAAGGGGAATGTTTCGTGCATTGGCTGCTTGTCTCTACCCGCCTTTGGACATGGCCAATCCAAGGGGGGGCATGTGGCTGAGGCCCAGGTTTCAATCTGGAGCTGCCTCCCTTGGGCTCACGCCTGCAATTCGCACTCCAGCTGCGACACGGGCCGAGGGGCCGCACATATTGGGCAACAGACGTTTCCTGGTTTGCAAGAGCTTGTTGCCGCTTACGCGATGCCAAGATGGATGGATGCACTCGCGCTGGCTTGTATGGCTTGTGTTGGATGTCCTATTGGGGGCATGCCCCAAATTCCCAATCTTCGTACGTCAGCTTTTCCATTGGTTTATCAGGCGCCGAGCTTGAAGTGAAGCGGTTGAAGTCTCCTTTATGGCAGCAATGCTTCAAGCAGGACAGGCTTAAGGAATTAGGCATAGAGGGTTGAGTTGCGCTACGTAGGTAGCTTGGGTGGCTGCTTAGCAAACGTGTGAGCTGGATCATTTCTACCACAGCCAGGTCAGATATCCAGATTTGTTTTTTCTCAGAACTCGTTTTGGCACTGCATGCGGCATGCGCGTGATTGCGGCTGCAACATGCAACATTGTATAGGTAGGCCCGTTGCCAACAAGGTTAAACAGCTACACACCAAACACCACGTGCGTTTGGCCCTTGTTGGGCGAAGCATTGAGCAGGTTTATCCAGAGGATGCAGAAAGCGCAGAAAGTGATGTCTTTGCGGGTGAAGTGGTCACTTTGCTGCAAGGATCCCGCAGAGTTCTGCCAACCTAGGGCATCTGAGAGCCACACGGGCTGTTTGCCCAGGCGAAGAACATGGGGAATTATGGCTTCATCAAGCAGGACCATGACGGCGAGCTCATGTTTGTTCTTCCCTGGTCTTGTGAAGGCAGTGGATGAATCAAGTGCTGCGTCAAAGTGGCCCCGTGTGATTTGCACAGGTGGTCAGATCTTCGAAACAGGCACCAGAGTCGTTTACCGAATCGGGCCGGATAAGAAGCTGGGGGCCAAATTCCGGGCCGAAGATGTGCAGTTGGAGAATCTTGGCGTGCTTTTTCTGACCCGCGACCCGCCCGTTGACTTTTCTGAAGACAAGACCTGCGCAAGGAATAGCCAGCCTCGAGAGCCTCGAGAGCCTCGAGAGCCTCGAGAGCCTCGAGAGCCTGCCGGGCCACCGCCGGAGGCCAAAGGCCTGGGACGCGCGTTTGCCGCACTCGGCACTCGTGGTGCTTGGAGTCACACTGCTCGTTCGGTCCATTGCTATGCCTTCCGAAGTAAGACATGCATGTTGGGTGGGCTCGCGGGCGGTTTCCCACGCAGACAGCAAAGACATACACCAGCTAAATTGCCACACTAGCTGGAAGCAAACGCGAGAGCAGGCAAGACAACTTGTGGCTGCTTTTAAAGCATTTGTTTAAAGCAGAGGCTTTGGCAGAAGCAGGTATTAATTTGGCTTGACATGCTCGCAGAATTGCAGTCGTGAACTGTTGGCCTTCATTCTTCCTGGGCGGCAAGAAGCTGTGTGCCAGAATGACCCTGTGAAGGAACCATTTGGAGAAGCAAGGGAAGTTATGGCTTCGTCATGGATGCGGACAGCGAGGAGACAATTTTTGTACCGCGCTTGGAGATGAATCCTGGATGGTGCAGCTTGACGGGTTGCAGCACTGGCAGCAAGGTCCATGCCTCTCAGTGTCCGCATGGTGCCATGCCAGCCATTGGCACCAAAGTCGTTTTCACGAGAAGCAGCTCTGTCAGGCCCCAAGCTGTGACACTGAGTGGCTTACACTCAATTTGCGGTTGACCTGCCATCTTCAGAATCTGCGAGTCCATACCTGACGCAAATGCAGCCTCGCTAAGGATGGCAAACCAGCCTGTGTGAATGTCCGCATTGTGGAGGCGCCAGTCTGGTAGACGAGTACAAAGGCATACGCAACTTTATCTAAGACAACGCTTGCATGATAAGTCCAATAAACATTCTCCCAAATGATGCTTGATGCTGGCCAGTGCTTGCCGTCAGGATGCAGTGCCGGCACGGGCTTCGGAAGAAGTGCGGCGAGCCAACGTCAGTGGCGAACCGTTCCTTGACGTCAAAAGGCAAACGCTAGGCTGCTAGTTAGGCACCTATTTGCGTTTGCTAGATCATGACATGGATTGATGACCGAAAGCGACTTTGTCGCTGGGGTTGTGTCGGGCGTGCCGGCGACGGGGAGTGGCGAAAGCACAAGAATATGGAATGCGACTTTGCCAAGGGGGAATGTGTGGGTGGGAGGGAGTGAAAACGAAACAATTACAGAGCGGTGTTTGCGCAAATTCACGCTAGACTGTACCCATTTCATGTTGTTGGTTTCAGGTCTGATAGTAGCAGTTCGCTACTCGCGAGCGCCTGTTGCAGATGATGCTGGAGATGTTGGCACTAACGCTCAAGCTATCAGCGAAAACGCAGACATCCAGCCACCAGATTTCGACTTTTGCAAACAAAGCAAGTTGCGGAAACCGATCGCCAGGGACTTGCTGTCCCTTGCTGCCTCTTGCTTACCCTTGCTGTCCCTTGTTTTTTTTCCCTGCTTTTCCTTGCTTTCCTTGCTGTTCCTTTGTTTGCGTGTTTTCTCAATTTGTTGAGGTCTGATGCTAGCAGCTTTCTTGTTGCGAGCGCCTGTTGCAGATGATGCAGTGGATGCACCCTGCATCCCCCGAAACCCCTGCATTTTCTGGGCATTGCTGGTGATGATGCAGATGTTGTTGGTGATGCCAGGTATGCTGCCTGGTGATGTCATCGCGCTCGCTCTGTTGGTGTGTATGCTTATTTGTTCGACCTGTCTGCCTTGCATTGGCCTGGACTTCGTTCGTGCGAGTCCCTGGTTGCGGAGTTTCACCATGTCCCTCTCAAATCGGGGATGAAGGCAGATAAGCAACAGACCTAGATCGTGGCTTCAGCTCTTTTAGCCCGCAGATTGGTGGAATCGCTCGAAACTAAAAAGTTCCAGAGGGTGAGCCAGGTCTCTTGAGTGAAAGAGTTTGCTCAGAGGCCACATTTGCGACAACCAGATGCTTTCCCTTTGCATTCATGCTATCCCATGCGGCAAATTGCTGTCTCCGTTCTGAGGCGGCGCCCGGCAAGCGCCTTGCCAGCGCTTCCCCGCAAGAGAGCGGCCGCCTCAGGGTTTCCCGATGCATGTGTGTCCTGACGCATTGCTCGCCAGCCTGCGCCACAAGCATCCTCCAAGTCACCAGTGCCCTGGTTGAATTGGATTCTCATTGGATTCTCGATGCCGCCTTTTCAGGTTAAGCTTCCTGTGCGTCAGGAATGGGCCGCCCGTTGGCGCCAGTTCTGCGAGGAGAAGGGCAATGGTATATATGATCCAGATGAGCATGGAGCGGCATTCCTGAGGCAAGAATTTGCTCAATGAATTAGAGCAGGTTGGGTTGGTCAGACGTACACAAGCCAAAAGCCACCCGGGAGGCAGTTTCTGTCCGCAGTACTGGACCCACAAGACATGCAGCTTGGCAGTGAAGCTTGGGCTCAGCAGATTGGCATCCCAACGCCATGGGTTCGAGCCCAGGCAGCCAGCATCTCCGGCAAAGCGGCAGAGAACTTGACAGCCTGTGCGGGAAAATGCATACATCTCAAACGTCTCACAAAACGTGTTCAGCATCACTTTCCTTTGTGAGATGCTTCAGTGAATTCTCCGGGCATGAGACCTGCCACTCCTTCCTGCATACGAGCTACACTATATTTTCTGCACATGATTCTCCCTTCATCATTTGTTCCGATGATTGCTACGCAGTCAACATCCGAGGGGCTGTGTCAAATAGTGCCAAATATCAGCTACTGCACGTGGAGGCGTGCACGTTCACGGCTGCCATACTACAGGCCTTGAGCTTCAAGCCATAGAGGAAAAGGTGCGCTACTACACGGGCTACAGGGAGAGTTCAAGTTGGAGTGATAACGCTCTCCAAAGCGCTCACGTGGTTCTGCGCTCACCTGGCCCGCACGGAGGGCAGGATCTTCGCTCGGCGGCTCTTGGTCAGGCTGTTCGCTCGCCGGCCCTCGCGGCGCTTGAGGTCGAGCGGGCTACCCCGGAGTTCCTTCTCCAGGCCGGCGCTCGTCAGTTCTCTGGCAATTGCTGCTGCTGGCCGCTGCGCCGCGATTCCGCTGCGCCAGCCGGGTGTTCGGTTTTCTGTGGCGCCCCTCTCCAGTCATGCACCCCCCGGGCTTGGAGGCCGGTATCTCGGTCCCCTCCTCGCCGCCTGGCATGGCCGAGCTGGTGAACTCACGGTCTGTGTGCGCGTGCCCCCTTCTTGTCGGCCACGGCTCCGGCGGGCCCCCCTTTCGGCTGATGGCAGAAGGCAGCCATCTGTCTCACCTTTCATACGTCGTATGAGCATTGGAGGCAATTATATGGAATTTAAGGTGGTAGCTCCAGTACGAGAGAGAGAGAGAGAGAGAGAGACAGAGGGAGAGAGAGAGAGAGAGAGAGCCCGAAAGAGAGAAACGAGCGGCTGCGCCCCTTCGACTTGCAACACGTGCCACTAGCCGGCTTTGCTGGCAGCGGGTGTTTTGTGAGCCTTTTGCCAAATGCAGCACGCGCGCCTGATTAAATCATGGGGGGTTATGTTCGCCGGCTGCAAACTTCTAAGTTTGCCCTTAACAATGAGTGAAATGGGAGCATAACGGATCCTTTGGTGGATTGCAAGCCCAAGCCGTGCATGCCTTTCGGGACCAGGTTGGAAGGGAGATAGCCGCCTTCTATGGCAGGCACTGGATAATAGTGGCAATGGCATCCAGGCATCGCAAAAGGCACCTTTTTGGTCTTGACGTAGGGCAATGCCAGCTCCCGATGATGGCTGTGTGTTACTACGTGCATAGCTGCACATGCAATGCATGAAGAACTTTGAATAAAAAGAACCTCGCCAAGGCACAGCGAATCTGGAAGAGCTGGACCCGAGTTGTGCAAGACAGTTGGCACGGTTCAAAGACTTTGGCGAGAAGCGCTATGGAAGTAGGCTGTGGGCATTGTGGGGCATTGTGGGTGTGGGGCTGCGGCCAATTAGCAGCGTTACATCATAATGGACGTGCAAAGCCACCGGGCATGTTTCAGAGCAGAGCGGTCCGGGAGCAAAAGTGCCCCGGAGGCCAGCCATGTCTCTCTGGAAGGCCATTGACAAGCGAGACAAGCAGCGCATCAGCACTTTCCTCAGCTGCGTTGGGATTCTCCGTTTGAATTGCACTGAGACATTTAGGAGCTTTGTTGAGCCGAGGCTACGATGTCTTTGTGCGGAGATGCATTGTCATGCGATCTGGGCTGTTGGAGTCAGAGCTGAAGGACTCGCATTCGCTTGCGCCGATCGGAAGTTGAATCCTGTTGAGAAATAGCAAATAGCCTACAAACACGATGGAACAGATCGGGTATAAAAATGTTTATAAGCCTGGGGTCCTCTTGAGTAAAGTAGCTCGAGATGTAGAGGAGACCTTGAGTCTATTAGTCCTGTGTAGCCGTGAACGTCTGCGGCTGTCAAGAACCAACAACATGAAAGGATGCAGAAACCATGCGACAATGTCCTAAACGAGGAAGGGTGCAGTCGGTGAGAGGATCACATTGACATGAGGTGCGTTTCTCAACGAGGTGGAAAAGGACACAGTGATGGAATGCCATGTTAGCTTCCACAGGCCTGAGCAAGCATGAAGGTTGCCCTGCATCCAAAACGTTATCGACATCAAATTCCACGATTTGGGCAAGAGTCTGTGTGAGAGATCCTCTTGCTTGTGATCGTCCCCTTGCTTGTGATCGTCCCCAACGCGTGCTCGAGTCAGAATGAAACTCAGTCCCAAAATCGCAGCCATGCGGCCTCCCATTTGATTCATACCAGATCAGCAACTGCCACCTGCTTGTTTCGCTCTTAACATCCTTGTTCAACAGCCGAAACGTGAACCTTTGCCATGCCGTCAAATGTGGCGGAGCGCTACGCCGAGTGCCCACTGAGTTTCAAGCCATTGCACTTGGGTGCTGTGGGTGTCTTCTTGGACGCATCTGGGCGGCGCGTGGGGGGCTTCTACCGCCTGGAGGCAGCAGAGGCGTTCCTGGCCGGCGGCGGCAGCCGCTGCCCGGTGACAGAGCAGCCGGTGGCTCGGGTGCGGGAGGTGCCGAGTATCTTGGCGGACCCCAAGGCTTGGTTCCGCATCTGCGACGCGGATGGGGACCGGCGCCTGAGCCGGGACGAGGTGGTCACGGCGCTGAAGGCGCAGCTTCCGCTGGACAACGACTCCATTGAGAAGTTCCTCAGAGATGATGCTGCTTGGCGGATGTGGGACACGGATGGCAGTGGCTTCATTGAGTACACAGAGATCATGGACGAGGACCGGGGTCTCCTTAAATTTGTCCGTGACACATTCAGCAAGGCAGAAGCCGAGCGGCCGGTGCCAGACTTACGCACTGAACGCCATGCCTGGTATCGACGATGGGACGAAGATGGGAGCGGAGAGCTGGAATTTGAGGAGGTTGTTCGCGCGTTCGCGAAAACCTTCAAGATAGACGTTCATGGCATCACTGAGCTTAGGGCGACCTTGCGCGACATTTGGTGCGTGTTTGATACGGATGGCTCGGGGTCGATTGACAAGAAGGAGTTTATGGCCCCCAATGACGGCTTGGCTGATACAGTTCTGGCCACCATGAGCTTGTCTCGCTAAAGACCCAGATCCCCACAACGGATACAGCTGCAGCTACTGGCCTGCATTGCCAGCATCTTTCTACGTCATGCCAACAGTTCCGCACCTCGCAAAGTCAGTGCGCCAGCGCGCGGAGGCAATCTTTGGCGAGGCTCGTAGAAAACATGCCTAGACACAGATGGAGAGGCCGTGTACCAAAGTTTTTAGGGAGGGACACCGCAAGGGGAAAATGCCGTCGTTTTATGAGTCTGCAGTCGCTGGTCGCATGCCGCTTTCCCGGGTCCCAGGAGTTGGCTTATTGGCTCGACTGGCAGGGCAAGCCGCTTGAACGCCAGCGGCAAGCCTGTGTTCCTGACAGGTTGCTTGCCTGTTGGAAAGCCCTGCTTTATGGCAGCCCACCTGAGGAAACACGTGTGCTTTGCGGATATTGAGTGCCCCAGCTGCACTGAGCAACTCACACCGGAACAAGCACAGGCGGATGGTTGCCAGGTTCATCGATCACTGGCGCCCCCCTGCCTATCTGGTGGCAGAGCCAAATCCACAGGCCGCTGAACAGATCAGGCCCGAGCAGAGGGCCCGGAGCGATTCGTCACGCCCATGGCTGTATGGTGCTGGGTCAGGTCTCTGCTGGCTGCCAAGTATGGCCACTTCCTCAAAGCATGGAGAACCCTTCTGGACAAGGCAAGGCGCTTGAGTCGCTTGAGTTTGACTTGTTAAGTATGCCGGTCCAGGTGGTAGAGCTTTCCCATCATGCAAACGCCAGGAAAGTTCAATGAGAACACCTAATTAGTTGGGCTTGATATTGCTCCGTCTTGCTTCAAAGGTTTTTTCAATCCGTTCCATCCTAGCGCTAATGCTGCCTTTGCCGGCCAAAACTGTCCAAGCTGTGTCCTTTTCTCATCAAATGGTCACTGTCCTGTTCCCCATCCCTGCTTGCAGCGCGACGCAGGACAGCTCCAACGTTTGCAACTGGGAGGAGTTTCAAAATGCGACTTGTCACAGACATATTTTGTACCCAAGAGCGCTAAGAGAGTATGGGCTGCCTTGAAAAGCCCACGCAACTATGCCTGAGAGCCACTTTTCTCGCAAGCATGATCAGCCTAGGCCATGAAACACCTGAAACACAACGGAGATGTTGCTGGTGCTTGGCTCGCTTTGGACAATGCCGCTTGTCAGAAGAGGCAGCCAGTGCTAGCAGAGAGAGAAAGAGAGAGTGAGAGAGAGTGAGAGTTGTGGAGGAGCAGCCCTGACTGAGGACCTTAGTGGATCCATAACTCTTCAGGCACCGAGCTTGCAGGGCTGTGCACACTCATGACATCTATACAATAATGTGTGTATACCCACACTGCATACTGCTAGCATCTGCTAGCTTGTTTTCCATGGGACGGACATGAGGAGATCGACAGCAAGTCAAGCCAGATGCTCCTGAATTTCAAGAGTTGGGCAGACGCACAGCAGCCCGGCCGGCCTACAGCTTGCTTACAGTGCGTGCATGTTTTGTCCTGAAATTCTAAGAGAAATGCCTTCCACAGGAATTGTTATGCAACAAGATCGCCTGGGAGAGATGGGTAGGATTGCAGAATGTATAGTTAACAGAGAGATTGCATGGAGCAAAGTGGTAGCTCAGAGAGACACCTTGATAGATGGCCCAGAGAGATTGCATACAAAGACTTAAGGCAGAAGTTTCGCTCCAGAAGCCATGCATGTTATGTTCAAGTATCATGCTGCACGACAGCATCGTCCACGGTTTGTGCACATTCGACCCTTGGGGAGATTCTGAAGGCTGACGCACAAAGTCCCAATGACTATGCTACTACCCGTGGATCCCGTTGACCCCTTTGCAGGGATCCGTGTCAACATGTTGAAGTGCAAGTAGCACGTGTTAATTTTGTGATTTTGAAGGTAGGCTCAGAAGGTGAGGACCGGGGCAGCATTTCAGGCCACCCCCTTTTTTCAGTGGAATGAGCAACGTTGAATGACTTTAAATCTGAGGTTTGGCAGCGTTCGTGCAGCTTTCAAGGCCAGAAATCAGAACAACGCAGGACACAGTCGCCCTGTTGATGCTGTCACGCTGTAGGAAGTTGACGTATCATTCGGTATGGTTAAAGATGGCATGCATGTGTGCAGTTTTGAAACGGCTGCGCTAAGATGGGCCGGATGGGCCTTGAGTGCATTTGAGTTGCCTTAACGGCCTTAACCCCTGTGAAAGGTCTTGGACAAAGACAAGTCTGGCGAGCTCAGCCTGCCAGAGTTTCGCCATGCTGTCCTTTCGAAGCTTGGCAGGTCAGATGCTTGTTGAGTCCGCTCCTTCCCCATGAGCCGTTCAGGAATGGCCTGTCCAGCTGTGATGAGGCGGCTTGGCTGAACATCAGTTTCTCCCAATTGTTTGGCCTTGCTCAGGTTCTTTTGTTCAAATGCTTGGACTGCTCTGGTCATGGGCGGCTGCCTGGCACGCACAGCATTGCTAGAGTGCTTGACCCGGTTGGAGCCAAGCCAAGGCTTTTGCTGCACGAGGTCCACTTTCTCGATGATTCTCGGCCACGGGGAAGCCCGCGCGAGCAAGCATCGTGCTGCCCCACTTGACCAGCGCTTTCCGCCCAGGACTGGGAGCCGCGGCAAGATGAGGAGAAAGGCAAACCGGCTCACTGAGGCATGACGTTCGGGCCCAAGTTTTCATGCTTCTTTTCAGGTGATGAGGACGAGACCAAGACGATCAGTCAAAGCTGCCTGACTGGCAACTGTCATTGAATGCTCTTCTTGTTTCCGGTGCAGTTCGGTGGCATTTCTTGGACCGTCGTGGCTGGCAAGGTGCAACTTGGACGGAGGCATCGGCAGACACCATGTGTCCTGGCGGTGCGTCATCACAGTAGCGGGCGGGATCCTAGACGCCGGGTGGTGTTTTTAGCTGCGTGGCTAGCTAAACTTATGTTACTCCTGTTTTGGTTTGTTTTGGTTTTTTGGGCCTTACATTTCAGGAGGCCGGACTCAGTCAGGTTTGGCGTTGGGCCTACTGCCGGGCTGCGTAAACAAAGGCCGATGCCGAGGTACAGCTACGCCACGCTGGCTCCTGGCCCTGGTGCCTACAATCTCCTGTCCGGCTTTGGCGCACACCCACGGGTTCCTATGGCCAGGCCTGTGAGAGTCGTGAGAGGGCGCTCTCACGTTTGAAGCTAAGCAAAGCTTAAGCTCCTGCTAGCTACTTTCGAGGGCACGATGTCAAAGAAGGCGTTGACTCGACGTTTTGCATGGTTGGGCGATTTGGGGATTGGTCCGTACCTCAGGAGATGAAGGGTTCACCGCCCCGCAGGCATATGGGAGCCCATGCGTTCAGCGGGCGTCCACAGACTTCCTGGCTGAAAACAACCATCCAGCTTCTCAGCACAACCGCCAAAAGAGCCACTTCCGTGCTCAAGTTGTGGTGGCCAGCTGGCGAGTGAGGGCAGTTCGATTCATCAAGACTGGCAAACAGTGATCGCACTCTCACAGTCACGAGCGTTTACTTTATTGAGCACATCTGAGGTCGGTTGGCCCTGGCGCCTTTGAGAAGGATGCTTGGCCTGGCCTCAGGGACTGTTGGAGATCTCTTAGTTTGTTGCCTGTTGTTGCCAGATCTTTTAGTTTGGTGCTGTGATTTGAAGCCAAGGACCCCAAAGATTCGGCAACGCAGCGACGTCACAAGCCGCTCGGGAAACATTTGTCCACGTGCATTTCTGGTATGGGACCATGTGGCGTTGAAATCATTCCTGCGCCAAGGCCTTCTTGGCAGTTTGCCACCACAGATCGCATGCCTAATCAGGCGCCGACTGCTGTCGATCCTTGCCTTTCGCTTGGCGCTATGGCTCCAAAAGCAGGTGAGCGACTCTCCTGGGCCTGGGCATTATCAGGCACAGCCAGCCACTCGCTTAGACATGCTATGCTTGCCTCAACTGCCACGCAGTTGCATGCATAGCGCATCAGCCTCCCCAAGGCTTTCAATGGACCGCAGTTTTCCTTTGGCTGCCGCCGCGGGTTCACCCTGCATCCGCTTGAGAACTCTGGCCTAATGAAGAGTTGTCTAATGAATTCATTGCCTTTGTGCTTTATGTCTCCACGATGTTTTTGCTGAGGAAGCCGCCACTTTCGGCAAGGACAAACACTGGGAAGTACTGCTTCAGCTGAAGGCACATCTTTTTTGCAAAGTCAGCACGCCCAGAGCAAGTGGCAAGCTCATTTGGACAGGCAATGGCAATAGTGCAGAATAGTGCGCAATAGTGCGTACTAGTGCAAGTGGACTGCTGCGCTGCCCCGGCTGACTTGCCGAGCTTACATGAGATGTTCGAAGGTTCGCGACCCAAAGGCCAACTCAGGTCGAAAATGCAGCCAAAGTTGCTGCAGAAATGGCCAGCCTTGAGCATCCCGCTAGTTTGGCACTGGGATTGCACCCCCAATTCCGCAGAGATGTGAGGGTCCAAAGTTGCCAAATGGCAGACAGGCCCCTGAGCGTCTTAGTGGCAAGGTCACAAAAGGTAACAGGAGCTGCGGGAGCATGGGCTTTCTCCTGACCCATTCGCTGGGCGCGTTTGCGAGCTGAGGACTGGCCATGAGGGGCTTTGACAGGCGATCTGCTCAGCACCTAACATTGGCACAGACAGAGCACCGCGAGGCGCTGCGTTCAGCAGGCACCAGATCACAGCAACAGGCCGATTCGTCACCTTCCGCTGTGTGGTGAGAGGGTTCTAGAAGCTTGGGATGGTCGATGCATTACGGAAGAGCGGCTATCGCGGCTATCAATAGGTCGATCCAGTCGATCCGTTCCGGATGCCAGGGATGATCCCAAGCTCTTGGGCTTCGGGCGGCCAGACACGCCTTTGGGCCTAGCGAGTTGGACCTGGCTTCATTGAACTTCACGAACGGGGCTCGCGCCCTAGGTTGATCCTGGTGAGCGGGCATCGCCTTTGGGCTCACTATGAGATCTTGGGTCAGCGTCCTAAGTAGACCTGGCTTCCAGTGGCCTTGTCTAGCCAGACCTGCTTTTGAAGCACGCATGGTTTTTCACTGAGGGCCCAGAACCTACTTGTAACTCGTGCAGTTGAATTCCATGATTCCATGTGTGGAAGAAGCCTCGTCCATGGTCAAAGGCAAGCATTCCGTGGTTCTGCGGGCAGAGTGCTTAGTTTCGGATACTTGTGCATGCTCGGACCTCATGGCGGTGATTATTTTTGCTGAATGCAGAAGCTGAGGAGCAACTGCACTGCTCGTGCTTGCATCCTCAGCATGCAAAAGCATAGAGCATCACTCCACTGGCCCGGACTGAATTATTGAAACTGAAAAGTGAAGACTGACCTGCCCACTCAAACACCGAGGCATTGATCCGTTCTGGGGGCGGACTCTGCACATCAGAGACAGCCATTGCCTCGGATCTCGTGAAGCCAGGCCTTCATAGGTTCGGTTTCTTTGCCATTTGCCGAGGCCCGACAACGAAGCGGAGCCTGGCCGGGGTGAAAGCCTGGCTGCAGGCGGTCTATCCTCCTCAGGTGGAGCCCAACAGCCAAGTGAGGGTGCCCCTAGCTGCCAGCACAGGTTATGCCCTCGGCTCAGATGATGTCGGAGGCCTGCGGGTGATCGCCTTGCGTAGCATGTCGCAGCAGATGCTAAAGACATGCCTGCATGAGTGGGCACGCGGGGACCATGCCGGAAGCATTGCATGCGTTAGCCAGTGGCACTGATAGTGAGTATGCCTTGCTCTTGCCAGACATCAAAGCTCAAACCCGCATAGTTTGCCAATAGTAATTCCATCCTTACTTGGTTTCTCTCTCACTCGATGAGGACTGAACACATGCAGGTGTTTGATGCAGTGGCAGCGCGTGTGTCGCTTTGGAGCTTGTGGTTTGGAGTGCCCATTGCGGCAGTGCCATGCCCCGAGGATTTTCATTACTCTTTCGCTGGCAGCCCTGCTCAGGGCAGAGCGCGAGAAGCAAATGTCAACGGAGGACTGGCATATCGCGACCGCCCATCCTAAAGAAAAGGCACAGTGCGGGAACTCGTCATGACATGCCTTTTCGACTAGTACGCGCCTGCCGCTTCAAGGTATGCACGCGTGCCACTGACTTGCTTGTGACGGCAGGACGATGAGACAGCTTACAAGCGTTTCCGTGAAACGCACCTCAGCAATCAAAGTCTATACTGTAGTGTTGTTGCATGCATGGTCTGCAACATGAGCGGGGACGGTGTCCAGCCATACTCTGTGAAGCTTGCAGCAAGGGCCTTTTCCGTGCAGTTCCTTGCTTTTTCGCCTAGGCACAACCGCAGCACCATGGGTGATATGCTGAGCTACGAGCAGCGCCTGTCCAACTTCCGTGCCCCGACCGCACTCGGAGGTTGCCGCGAGCCCTCGGTTGGTTTGCTGCGCGGAGGTCGATTCCGCGCCGCGGTGGAGCGGCACAACTCCCGGGCAGATGTGAGCTGGACGGCGGCCGCGGCCTGAGTCATCTGGAATTTGAAATGATGTAGTGCTACTGTGGCAGTGTAGCTCGGCGTCCAGGTCATCAACAAGTTTGCAGACTATACGGAGCAAGAGTATCGAGCCCTGCTGGGTCAGAAGCGAACCTGGCGCGGAGAAGCTAAAGTAGGCTGGGCAGCTGTTGCGGATTGTCCCAAAAGCTGTGCGTGCGCGCGCGCCTGCAGGAAGCTCGTTCCTGCAAACTGGACCCAATCGGCTGGCGGCGCGGACGGCTGCTTGGCCATGCATTTCCAGGGTGGCACGGCAGCTCTGGTTTTGGCAGCGAGGTCGATTGGGGCCAGTCGCTGGGTTCGGTGGCGAAGGTGAAGGAGATCAGGGCAAAGTTGTGGATGCGGGCTTGGGCTGCCACAACTTGAAAGCTCTTGATGAAGGCCTTAGGATAGTCAAGATCCCAATCACATGGTTGTGTTGCACCTGACGTTTCGCAGATCTCGAACACCTTTCCAAGTTAAACCAGTTCCACGCTTTGCTGAGCCCATCGCATGATTCCTTCGATTGGCAATTCCAGCTGATCAGAGTCTTCTGTTTATGTGCAGACTGTACTCAGGAGCAAGGTGCCTGCGGATCCTGTTGGGCAGTAGCAGCCATTGGAGCCCTTGAGATGCATGCGGAGCTCAGCCTGAAAAAGGAGATCGGAGCCTTGTCCTCAAATCAGGCGGGCAGTTCAAGTGCCAGTGCAAGCATTTGATTTCTGCTTGCAGCTTGCTGGGGCATTGCAGGTGAAAGATTGCTCAAAGAATCCCAGGCACTGTGGCAACTTGGCTTTTTTGTTGACTTCTAAGCTTTGCGTCATGTGCAAGCATAGTCGATGTCTTTAGCACGCCAGTACTTTCTTCACCATTGCCCCCAACCCTGGTGCAACCGTTGACCTGTACTTTTGCCCTATCTTTTGAGAAGTTGCTTTTGGCCAACCTCTCAGGTGGGACCGGTGGATGCGAGGGTTCTACCTCTGAGCTCGCATACGCTCGACGCCCAGCTCTTGTGTCAGTGCGCTTTTGTGCATTAGATGCTGATAGGCGACGCTAAGAAAAGCTTGGTAGCGTTTTGGCGCTCGCGAATGCAGGCTTTTATGCAGGAGAACGGCATTGCCTTGGACGCCACTTACGTTGGAGTACCTTAGCCTAATCGACATGTGTGTGCGTGCCAGTACTTGTGCAACTTGTGCCCGCACCGCTTAAGCAAATGCGGACGCGAGGACAAAGACCGCGACCAGCACTGCAGAGAGGTCCAACCATACCTAAGAGTTGGAGGACAGATGGTCAGTGAGACAGCGACCGCTAAATCGCTAGCCGCAACTTGCGTTCAGCAATTCTGTCGGTGTCACTGTGCCCCTGGCATACTGTGATACATCAGCCAGGCTTTCAGCCACTGCCTGTCAACAAGCTGATGCCCCTTATGGACGCAGTGTCAACAAAGGGCCCAGTTGTTGTCTCCATTGATGCTGGGGGCTGGAACTACTACGGCGGTGGCATTTACGCTGCTCGGTGGCACAGGCTCTACTCATAGCAGCAGGCTCTACTATAACATTCCTTGGCTTGTTTGAAGGAGATGCAACACCTGAACAGCAAGCATAGGCTGTGCAGTGTTGTTTCATTCTGTGCGTGCGTGCATTTGCGGCTATGACCATGCATGTTTGTTTGTTCGTTTGTTTGCTTGCTTGCTTGCTTGCTTGTTTGTTTGCGTGTCTGTCTCTATCTCTGCCTCTGTCTCTGTCTCGTCTGTGTGTGTGTGTCTGTTTGTGGGTCGCACGTGCGCGCTCGTGTGTCCGTGCAGCATGCTTGCTGTACACGCGTGCTGCTCGCGCGAGCGGGTGTGTGTGTGTGTGAGTGGCTGGCTGGCTGGCTGGCTGGGTGGGTGGGTTGGGTGGGAGGTCGCTTCTTGCCGCGCCTGAGCGTGGCCAGTTGCAAGGACAGTTGCGAGAGGGATGCTGTTGTGAATCACGCCGTGGTGCTGATCGGTTATGGCCATGACAGCGAGCAGAACAAGGCGCTGGGGCTAAATTCAAGCTTGCACCTATGCACAAAGGGTCAGAAGGGCGAAACAAAGGGCGAAACCTGAGGACTATTGGCTCATTCGCAACTCCTGGGGGGAGTCCTGGGGAGAGAAGGGCTTTATCCGACTGCTTCGCCACAACGTGGACACGGGCGATGCTGGATACTGTGGCATAGACCGCAAGCCCAAGGACCCGCCAAGTTCTCGGTGAGTGATCGGACATGTCCAATGTAAAATGTTTGGCTTCAAAACGGAACCGGACCCCCACCCCAAAAATGGCAAAGGTTTCCCTTTGGTTTCCCTTGAGTGCGCCCAGGGGACAAACCCAAAAAGGGTACCACCAAGAAAAGACGAGCCACCCATTCCTTTCAGCCAGGAAGGCACTGGATGCGATGGTGGCCCGCGAGAAATTCCGGTGTGCGGCATGTGCGGCGTGCTCTCAGAACCTGGGCTCCATGTCTTCGCACATTTTTATTTTTTTTTGGGGGGGATCCCCCATTTGGAGACAAACCCAAATAGCCAATGTGCATGAAGCTGATGGGTTCGTCGCAACAGAACCTGCCATTGCAGTGCTATCAGGGCATATCAGGGCATCGCTGCAAACAGCGCATATTTTGAGTCAACCACCATGCCGGGATGGCTGTCAAGGATTCCGTCATGCCAACCGGCGTGCAGCTCTGGCAATAGCCGGCTTTTGCAGCCCACAGCACCGGCATAATTTGCACTATGCGCTTGGCCAACATCTGAGTGAGCCCAGCGTTTTGCCATGCTTGCCTGAGTCAAGCCACTGGCAGCTGTTTTTGCTTGGACCATTTTGCGCGCGCTGCACTTGGCATGCACGCTTAGATGAAATCGTGCTTGATTGGCCTGAGAGCTACGCGCGTCCGCACTAGTTGCCCCTTAAAGAACAGCTTGCCGACAGGTGACTAGCCTGGCAAGCGACTTCATGATGGAGACCGTCCTTGCGCAAATCAAGGCCTGCGCAGTGCCAAATCTTGGCAGCATTTCTTTGTTTCGGCGGTGCCCACCAATGCAAATTGCGTTGCTAGAAATTTGGCTGGGGGCCCTATGGCACATTGTTCTCACACGGTTTTCCAGCCACCGCCAGCTCAGCATCTCCGGGCAGTGTGACCTTCATAACGTGGCTACTGTGGAGAAACAGGCGAGGCACAAGTTGCAAAATGCGGTTTCTTGATTGCGCTTCATGGCTTTGTCCAGAGTTGGGCTTGCTATGTCAATCACTATGCACACATTTTTGCCGCGGAGCCACTTTTGGTTGCCTCAACCATCAGCACCAAACGCAGTTGCCACATCTTGTGAGGCCTTGGCGACCGGAAACACCTCAACACCTCCCATCGCAGAGGCTGCAATGGTGCCTCGCCTCAATGCGAGCCATGTCCGGCAGGTGGTTTTCGATGCCTTGGCCGAGTTTGCCGTTGAAGAGCTGAAGGCTATGTCGGCCCCCCAAGGGATTGGATGCGGAAATTGTGCCTGGCGAATCTCATGCACTGAGGCCTGGGTATGATGAGCTGTCCTCGGCTGCGAAGGTGGAGGCGGGCATTGAAGGCGGGCGCAGAATGGGCGGAGCCATTTGGAGCCAGGTAGCTCGGCGGAGAGTTCTGCTTCTGGAACGCCTTCTTGAAATGGAGAAGGCAAGCGCCGCAAAGCCGCACATGTGTCATCGAGTATCATCAGCTTTGCCGTGTGGCTGGTGATTTGCCAACCTGAACCCGCCTGTGAGGCGGGGGAAAAACTGCACAGCCGTGCATGCGCAAAGAAAAGGGCCGGGGGCCGCAAGACAGTGCATATTGGCATATTGGTGCTTGCGCATTTGAAAATGTTTCTTCCCTGATTTTATCCTTTTCGGCCTGGAGTCTGATGCCACCACCGCAGGCATTCACAAAGAACCCCCCAAAACGGCCTACATATATATATATATATATATATATATGCGTGTCAACCCATATCCTCACTGAAGAGTCTTTCCCTGAGTGGCAGCATTTGTGTGTGTGTGTGTGGGCGCGCATGTTTGCATGCTCTTGCCTGAGTTGACCTTGCCAATTGTGAGAGTCCTTGTGTTCCAAGGTGTTGCGTGCCTGTGTGATTTCGCATCCTCAGCTCTTCCGGGCTCGCTGGCTCAGTGTGGTCGTGAACAGCTTGCTCCTGGCCAGCCTTTGCATTGGGCTCCATTTCATTGACTCAGCATGACTCAGCATGCAGCATCTATGCACGGCATAGGCCATGCTCTCAGGCCTGCCCCAGCGATCTGCGCGCTGACACGAGGCATGTATTTGGGGTGTCCAAGCCGACGAATCCGCCTCAACCGCTTGTCCGCTGCACGTTTGCCAAAGTTTTTCATCTCAAATCAGGACTAGCTGTGATCAGCTGCAGCGCACACCTTTTGACACGCTTAGTCAGAGCCCTTCGCTCAGAGCCACCCACCCTGAAGCCCAGCTAAGCCCGCGCATGAAGGGCACCGCAGCCGCATACACGGACTTTACTATTTTTTGGAGGATGCCCTGTGCCAGCCATGGCTATGCTGCGGTGCAGAGATTAGTGCCTGGATTGCAGAGAAATGGGCCAAGAGAGAGAGAGAGAGAGCTTTCCTTGACAGCATGAAGGACAGCGGTTTTTCTTTTTTGGGCTGCAGCGAGGGGCCGGCACATTGCTTGCCGTCCGCAATTTTTGGAGTCGCAATGCCGGCCGTGAAAAGCACACCGAAGAAACAAACACAAAGGCTTCCCACAGCGAGTTGCTAGTGGCGGGGTTTTCGAACCAGCTTTCTGGCAAGTTTGGCATTCAGCCGTCCTTGCCTCCATTTCTCAAAGATGGTTTCAGCCATTCACACTGCAATTTATGGTATGTTCGAGAGCTGCAACAGCGCTAGCTGGCTTAATTACGTTGCGTTAACTGGATGCAACGGCAGACAGAGACAGAGAGAGAGGGAATCAGCCGAGGTGATATTTGTGCGACTTGGATGTAATTAGTTGAGAGCTTCACCATGCATGTCATGTTCATACATCTGGGGGCCGTCCGTAATTGCATGTCTAAAATGTATGAACAGCGGCAACCACGCGATTGGGAAAACTCGAGCCACGAAAGGCCGGCGATTGGACCGCGAAAGGGCAACGCAATTATTGTGAATTTACACGCTGCATGGTGTTTGAGTCGTGGTGCCGACGCACGTCTCGCTCAGTTTGACCGCACGCACAGGGTTTCCTCTGGAATGCTGAATGTTGATTTCGTCTGCGCAGGCTCGGACAGTGCTTTCAAAATGAATCTGATTACTGGCATGGGCTGGAAGCTGCAAACCGAAGTTTTGCCGCCGAATTCCGCGATTGGGCGGCGAGTTCCACCAGTGAGCCCCTGCCCACCCGAGCCACATTATTCCTGCCAGCTTCCGGGTATGGATGGAGGAAGGCCAGCGCTTGAGACAAGATCGCAGAAAGCGAAACAGCAGCGATGCCCAACGTTGCTCCGCGATTGGACCCTGTGGGGTCGCGATTGGATTGCCAGCGTTATGCTTGGTAGACTTTGCACTCTTCGGGCCCTTCGGGGGATGCCTGTTGAGATCGCTTCGTGTTCGTGGGTTGACACTTCCTGCTGCAGAGCAATGTTTGCAGAGACTTGAGCTCTGAGGGCAGCTTGGCCTTGGGCAGTAGCAGATTACTGCAATATCACGACCGAGTGGCTTGGAGACAGCGTGAGCTTGCAGTGAGCCAGCGGCCAGCATGGCCAACGTGTTTTTGAGTTGCGGACACTTCGGCTCAACCAATCTGTTTTTCCGGGCCCAGCACAAGTGCCGTCAGGGACCTGCCTAACCAGACGGTCATCATTAAGGACACTGAGCTGAAGTAGTCTTTCGCACATGTGCTTAGCGCTTGCAGACATCGCTGAGGACTGTCCTAGCACAATTGTGCAAAGCTTAGTGGCCTTGACCAGTTTGCGCATGAAGCATGCGCAGTCAAGTTTGATGGCCTGAGAAGCAGGTGCAGATCACTTGCTCCCTCACTGAGCCGCCTGAATGCCGGGAGATGATTTTCGCGAAGACGGATGCATGCCTAGAAGCACAAGCGCATGAGCGAATTGAATGGGCGGCCATGATCCATCCATTACACAACACGTGCAGTGTTGAGCAGATGCTTGCTCATGGCAGCGTCAAGTTACACGACACAGCCAGCTTGAGTGCTGCTGAGGCGGCGGTTACCACGTCCACTAGTCTGCCAACGAATGCAAGCAGCAGCAATGAAACGACCTCCACCAGCACCAGCGGCTTCATATCAAACACTACCTCTTTTCCCCTTATTATTGATGACTTCAACGCAAGCACCGACGCGTGCCTTGCCAGTACTGCTTCCCATTCAATATGCTTCAGCAATGCATCAGTCATGTATAGCATGTCAGCTCCACTTGAAGCTGATGAGGCCGCTGGAGTCAAACAACTCGAATGCGTCAGTTACTTGACTGAAACGAGGCTTTGTTTCTTCGTTTTGCCTGGGTGTTGTGCATCACGACCCGGCATGTTTGCAGCAGGCCAACGTGACGTCTACGACCCCGAGCTTCGCAAATTTGACCTCAACCACTGGCAACATTCTGCCAGAAAGCTCACAGACCTCCACAGCTGAAATGTTGAACGAGACAAGCATGAGAACCACCTTCACCTTCACAACGACATTCACCCCCACGACATCAGTGTCCTTCAGTTCGCCGTTAGCCTTACCTTCCAGTGGTTTGTGATTTGATTTTTGAACAGTTCAAGAATCAGGTTGCATTTGCCATCCGGCAGCTGAAACAGAAATTGAGTTTTGTCTGCTGATCACTGACACTCACTCAGGACCGAGTCTGTCAGTTCCAGCTTCAGTGGCACCTCGTTGGCCCCTTGACAGCGTTGACAGCGTTGACACCTATGAACCAAAGCGAACCAAAGGACGGGCCTCCACTCCCTGAGGCGACTCTTGTCGTCATTGAGGGCAAGCTGTCCTTCCCAGCCGAGGGTGTGAACCAGTCTAGCGCCGATGCTTGCAGCGGTTTGTTTTCGAGCTTTGTTTGCTTTGTCACTTCTGCTCTGCTCGTCTCCCAGGTTCGCTTTGCCCTAATTGTTTTCACCCCTCTCAGTTGAGGAAATGGCCGTGGTTTCAATGCTGTCAGCCTTCCTAGGCTTGGTGCCAGAACAGATAGAATTTTGCTGTATGCGGGTGCACGACCCGGCACGGGCAGCACAATCAAAGCTAGTCATCATGGAAGCGTCGTTTCATGACTCACGACAGGCCTCAGCTCCGATCGGATCACTGCCAGCGCGATGATTTTTAGTTCGCCGGGGAGACGCTTGAGTCACCTGGACCAAAGCCCCAGACATCCAGCAGTCTTGTGAGTGATGGATTGTCAGCAAAGAAAGGTTTGTGCCAAGCTATCATTTGCAGTCAGCGAAGACTGAGCCTGCTTGAGCCGAGGCGGTTTTTGGAGGACGGCTTTTCAAGTTCGTGTTCCTGCTGAGGAGGAGGAAGCAACCCGGGAAAAATTGCTGGGGCTGAAAAACTCCGAAGAGTTCGCGGGGAGCCTGCGGCAAGTGCCTGGGCAGCAGAGCGGCGGCTGTTGTTTTTGTGGACTTTGCGACGGGCGTTTGCTTGTCAGATGTTGGTATTCCTTGGCCGGCCTGGTTGTAGAGTGGACGCCAGGCATTTGTTGTTAGTCATTGACTGACATTGCCATGGGTGGTGTTCCGTGTGGGGTCGCGCAATAGGATGAAAACACCTAGCAATTGCAGGTCAATACGGTCATGAGAACAGACTCCAGGGAAGCAAATCAGAAGCAAAACAGCTTTGTTGGTGAGAAAATGCCGTTGGCAACATGAAAACTGGCTCCAGTTTCAAAGCCAATTGCCTCGGCACTACCCGGCCACAAGTTGCGCGACAAAAGCGACAAACCAATTACGAAACGAAAGTGTCCCGACCACAGGCTCCGTTGCCACGTGAAAAGCTTGTCACAAGCCGGATGTGCAAAGCAAATCGGTAAGTAGCTAGATAAAATCAGATACTGCACCCAATAGTGACAAAAGAGAATGTTTTTTTAGGCAATCCCACGAGAGTGACATCATAGATGAGCTGCGGGAGGTGCGAGTGAGTGTGCAAGGCCTTGGTGGCTCTTGGCAGCGAGCCAGCAGAAGCCTTCAACGTAGCTTTGGATCTTCCCTCCACAGAGGCAAGCTGTTTCACACCCCGCCGCAGTTCGAGCTCTTTTCACCAGTGTTTCGTTCTGATTGCTTGCTCATTAGTTCGCTTGACCAGGCTTGCTCATGCCTCGTGTCATGTCTTTGCCAGTGTTCGCAGGGCAGACGAACTTTTGCATTCGCAGGCACCAGAATCGCCCAGTGACAACACAATTATCATTGTTATTGCAGCTGCTTGGCCTACTCTTAGAATATTTGGTGGCCTACCAAATCTGAGGATCTGAGGAGTGGTGGCATTTGAGTCATTCAGGATGCTGCATCGTCTTGGGTTGGGGTCCACCAAGGCAGCGGCTGTACTACTGCTTATGGTGGGTGCCATCATAGCCAAGGCTTGTAGCAACATGGCTGGCACCCCAGACATGGATGGAAAAGTCATGAAATGTGATCCAAAGCGGCACGAAGACACAGACACCACACACACACACACAGACACCACACACACAAAGACACACACACACACACATACACCATGCGAGTAAAAGCAGTGAGGTAATTCAAAACGAGATTCTGATGGCCTGCTTCCGCAGAACAAGGAGATTGCTCAGTGTGCTTGTGGTCACTGGCGCTCCTTCCATCATCTGGCAGGATAGCAACCAGTCGCTAATGAATGCTAATGAAGAGGGTGTTTCTTCAACGTCGGCACGCGACCTGGAGATAAGCTCCCTCGGCGTTGCTGGAGGACCGCTTTTGTTCGATTTTTGTGGGCAACATGTAATGTGAGTACAATGTTACGAATGAATATGCGTGCACACACATGTGTCACACAAACAATATATATATATATATATATATATATACGCACATATAGAATTATGTAAGCATGCGAAGACTGGGATGAATTCAACGTCACGTGCTTGCGAACGCGCAGGCGCTGACAGCCTGAACCTCTTGGGCGCGGGCTGGCGGGCTGCACGTAAGCTCCCAGCATCTTGATGCCCTCATTTGTTCTCATGTGTCATGCCAGACCCTTGAAGGCTTGCGACTGAGGTTCCTTCGATGCCGCCTGGCAACACTCATTGTCTCAGGCGCAGGCTGTAGCCTTTCGCGCTCGCCCGAGGAGCGAGAACTCACGGAGCCGCCTTTACCGGCGCCTTCGAGTCCGCCCACCCAGAGCCAGGACACAGAGGCACTCGGGGCCCAGTGTTCCAGCGTGGTGGTTTTGTGGTGTTGCAGAAGTTGCGGTCTTGGTGGTGTTTTGGCGGTGTTTTCGTGGTGACCTCGGTCTGGTTCTGGTGATGTGTAGTGGGCAAGCAGCTCAAATGCAAGCAGTTGTTTTTCTTTTCTGGCTTGCCAGGTGCCAGCGCAAAGGGCAGCAGTGGAGCTGACGGATGTTGAGCCGGAAGTTCTCCTGCGCCCAAGGCGCTCTGCACTGAGGGGTCATTTCCAAAGGATTAGCACGATGTGGGATACAGCCCGCCGCCACAAAAAGAAAGGTAAACCATGTCAACAAGCCAAAGCAGTCGAGAGCATGACCTTGTTTTCGCACAAGGCAGCGGAAGGAGGCAGCACCCACAGAGTGGGTTTTGGCTGATCTCCATTTATCCCAGCAAGTGCGACTTGGCAGAGGGCTGTTTGACTTACTGGATCTGGGTTTAGTATGTGTGCCATCCTTTTGGAAGGTGCCAGTCACTGAGCCCCAGCTACTGGACGGGCAGCTGGCACTGGACGGAAGCCCCGGAACTTCAGTGGAAGGTGCCTGTATCAGCCAGCAAGGACGGGCAATCCGAGGCGGCAGGGAGGCATCAGCAAACCCTTTTGCAACAAAAAGGTGAGCCCCTCGCCGAGCACACTCGAACAACGCCCTGTGCAACGGAGTCACACTATCCAGAAGCACCCTGCTTCAGCAGCGCCATGCGCAACAGCACCCCGTCCTTGATTGCGCCCCCTTCCAGTCTACTTGAAGTTGGAACCCCAATATAGCTTTCAGCTACTTGCGGAGAAACATGAACTATAATCTTGACCACTGCGATCCACTCGTTGTGCGGTTACAGGAGTATAGCTTGAACTTCCAGAAGGGGGGCAAGATAGTCTCTTGGCCCAGCTGGCGCATGGCTGGAGAGAGGGCATTGCATGAATAACTTGCTGCTGAGGTCGGCCACTGCTCTGACTCCGGAACCCAGTACAAAATCACCTTCGGCACTCACAGAGAAGATGGTGAGCTGAAATGGCGTGGGCAGCCTCAGACGTCAGACAAACTCTGCCAACACGTGTAGTTGCCAAAGACATATTGTCGCCAGGTGAAGTGCCACAAGTCGCGTCAGCCATGGCTTTTGAAGCTTACCTTAAAACCAGAGTTGAGCCAGCTTATGCAGCGAGCTGTGCCTGCGATATGCTACGGAGCCAAGGAGTGCAAAGGACACTTGCGAGTTCGGCAGCCACGGGGAAACACAGGAGTCACCGGCACCTGCTACGAGGTCGCACCTTGGCTGAACCAGACGTGCACAAGTGAGCAGGTCTGAAAAAGTCCCCTTAACATCCCAAGGAAGAGTTGTGTCACAACAAGGCCCCACGTAAGCAAAACCCTGCACGGCGTAAGTGCTTGTTGGGGAAACATGCTGCGCAAGCACCCACGTAAGCTCTTCTTTGTGATTGTCTGGTAAGCTTTGTAAGCATGCTTGGAAGAGTTGTTTCAGACATGTGCTTATGTGTTTATTGGTGGCTTGTGCTGTTTCAACCCAGTCGAGCTTGGCAACTTACCCGGAGACTTTAGCTGGAAGGCGTCTACCGCATGTGCGCATTAGAAAGCACCAGAACTTTGACTGGGAGCTCTTGGGGTTCATTGACTCATTGCCTTAGAACAAATACTTCAAATACATGCTTCTGAAACCGCGGTAGGAAAACTAAAGGGCCAAAGGTGCGCGTAAGGTTTGCGTAAGGTTCGCGTAAGCTCGCGTAGCTCGGCTGTCCGCTAGCACTCGCCGTAGATGCCGCCGCCGCGTAAGCTGCTTCTTGGTGCGCAGTAAGAATTTCAACGCCAAGCCGCGGAAACTCGCGAGGGTAGTTGTTCTTCGTCATCTTCTTCCTCAGAGTCATCCACGTCATCTTGAACAGTTCTGGCGGCTGGGAAAAGGAGCCATCGTAAGCAATTCTTGAGGGAAACGCTCCGACGCGTAAGCCATGCGTAAGCTTAACATGCTCGCTGACTGCCTTGAAAGCTTCGGGCAAGGAAAGCGCAAGCTCGCGCGTAAGCAACCTGATGCGACATGGGAGGTTTCTTTGAGTGAGAAATGTTGCGAGGGCATGGTGCCGGGCGCGGTGTGCAGGCTCAAAAGGATTCAAAAGGTAGGGACTGACAGATTGTGCCTTTGGGTGCCATGCTGGATTTCATCACAATCATCTCCACGGTGGGCTTGCAACAGGAGCTTCACAAGGTTAATGGCGATCAAAGCTTCATGATCCACGAGGGCGGCGATTTGCCAATGACTGCGAGCCTTGCAGAAATTGTGGAAGAAGCTGCTGAGCCTTTGTCTCAGGCTTTGGGTGCCATCGACAGTGCCCTCAGCGAAGGGATGGCTATGCTGGGCTTCGGTGGCAGTCCGCAGGAGACGACCCGCCCAAAGCTGCCTTGACGTAGCTGCACTCTTTGGCTGCCACGCTCTCCGGCCAAGCTGTGAAGAGGCCGCCATGTCCAGCAGATCAAGCCGCATCATAGACAGGCAGCTTTTGCTGGCGTTAGCACGCGCCGCACTCGACGGCAGTACTGCTTCGGTGGATCAGCGGGCTAGAAAGAAAGTTCGGCCGGTATCGCTTGTTATCCTTGCTTGCAATTTGGTGCAGTCATGGCAATTGAGACGGTTGAAGACCATTAGTATTAGCTGAGGTCGGCCTTTTCACCGCTGTTTCCACCTCCATGTCTGCCAGATACCTTGGAAGTGGGCGCCGCAGGCTCAGACATCTTAGGCGCAGTGCCGGATTGCCAATGGGAGCAACGCTGTTCCCGCTAAGGATTCGCGATTGTTGCGCGCACTGGCATTGAGCCGACCTCTTATGGCAACCCCGGCTACTACGCCGCCGATTCTGTCTGATCAAAAAGGTGAGCAGTTCGGCGGTAGAGCCTGCGTCTGGTCGTAAGGCTTTGCCTTCATGCAGGCAGTGGTTTGACACTGGCTGTTTGTACAGGCAGCGATGGATGGCTGCAAGCGCGAGCTTTTAAGGGCCATCCATTGAATTACAGGCACCATCCAAAGGCAAATGTCTTTCGGTTACTCAGCAGCTCATGCTGACGCTGCATGGGGCAATTCTTTTCCTGCTGTGGTTCGGACCAGCAACAAAGTGCAATATCCAGGACCTTGGGCGCTTGCAAGAAGCTTACGAGCTAATCCATAAGCCAGCTCAAGACTCCACGCTTTGCAGCCGCTGCAAATTGCAGGCTGGACGAGGCCTGGTTGGAAGAGGGCGAGGATGAGGAGACGGCCTCAATGTCCCTTCCCTCATGCAAGCGCAAAAGCGGGCGTACACTTGCGGAGGACTCCCCCTTCGCCTCAGACGCTCCGGATCTCGTGAGGTCCTTGTGCACACGTGGCAATTGCCAAGACACAGAGTGAGCACAGGTTCTCTTGCAGCTTCACCTTTGTTTTCGAGGCCTCTTCCGTGGATACGCAGACTCCCACCTATGCAACCGCGTCGGATAGGACAGCTGGATGCTTGCCCAGGCTCCCATGACATGTGCATGGAGGACCCGGCAGCGTTTCAGACGTGCAGACACTGCAGACACTGCACACACCATGGGTTTCAATGTCCGCACCTCGGTCCTTTCCACGGTATGGTGGTCCCATGCCTTTCCGGCTGAGACCCTGCATCGCTCGCGGGCCTCCCGGAGCTTTCGTGGGACAGCCTGCCCCGCCTTGCCGCTTTGGCGCCATGCCCGGACCAAGAATCGAAGCCTGGTGATTGAAGCCTGTAAGGGAACATAAGGGAGCATAAGACACATTCCCAATCCATCGAAATAGTTGCCCGTATGTGCAGTTCTTTGATTGTTTTGGGTCATTGTCATTGCCAGCCAGGCCCGTGAAGCAATGCAAAATACTGCCGTGCCATAATGAGAGTGTTGAGGCTCAAGCCCGTTGGCTGGGTTGACCCTCCGTGCCACCATGTCTAGCCATATGCGCTGCGCCAGATAGCATTTACATCAAGGCTTGTAGCTGTAGCAGTGGCAGAATGATTGGGCGGTGCTTTGGCAGAACCAGCTGGTAGTCTGTGTGGCAGATTTGGCAGGCATGCCGGGTTTGGAGTCCTCTCTCCGAGAGGCCAGAGCTGTTGGAGGCACAAAGCGGCGCTTGGCATGCGCTTGGCAACCCCATGAGGTGCTGGACTCGCTGCTGTCTCCCCATGCAAAGCCTCAGAAAGTGCAGCATGCCCAAGCCGCCCAAATTTGCCTGCTAACACGTGAAGGAATTGTGCGACCCAAGGCATGCAGTGGAGGCACTGGCTTCGGCAGCAGTGCCACAACTCCCCAGGCAAGTCTTCACTTGCATCAGCTTTGCGCTAGTAAGCATGCAACTTTAGTGCATTTCAGACACAATCGGGTAGCTGGGGCCTAGAAAGGGGGAGTTTTTCTTGGCCGTTCCGGATTCCGGGCCTATCAGAGCCATGGGAACCGCAAGTCCCGAACCTTGCCTTTGTTTTGAATTCGTTCGGCGAGGGCCCAGCGCCGGGCGCTGTGGATGGCGGCACTGCCCGCTGCCAAGCCACTTGGTCGCCCTCGGACGCATGTTGCACGTGGCCTGTGGGCTTCCCAGGCCTTTGCGGACGGTGGCATGGCTGCAGAGACGCAGGGTACAAGAACAAAGAGCGGGGACACAGCACAAAGGGAAAACACACACACAAACACAGGAAACACGCGGTAGAGGCTGCAATGGCCAATGACAAATGATAATGAACCTTTTGCCACTATCGCGACACCCAAGAAGCATGTCATGCAGCGTGCCTGTAGCTGACAAAGGCCTTCGAAGTGGACAGGGATGCTTGACTGCAGCAGATTAAGGCATTTTGGCCAGCTCGATCTTTGGCATTTGCTCGCAGCATCAAGCAATTCTGACCAAATCGCTGGCATTCATGGCGTGATTTCTGTCCTTTCGCCTTGCTGCAGTGTGATGGTGCTTGGCCTGAGGACAATGCGCCGGCTCTGGAGGAAATGAACAACGACGCCTCTTGATTTCAAAACAAAAGATGGGCAAAGCCACAAGGCCTCATGCCACACTTGCCACACAGTTCCAGCCACCCAACAAACTATACACATTTGCACAGCGTATAGACCTTGCCGGGCGATACAGGCTCCAGAGGGCCACGGTTTTTTCTTGTTTCACTGGGCATGCCATGCTCCAGCGGCGCGGGACAGCGCGTAAGGCAAAAGGCAAGGAAAAGGACCAGCCACTGCCACCAATGTGGGAGAATTTGGATGGGCTTCCGCAGCGGCCTCAGCTAGTCTCTGCTTTTCAATTATCACAATGTGTGTTGCATGAGCCGCAAAAAGCTTGCCCGCGAAACCCGAGGGAAGTGAAAGTGACCTCTCCAGCGGTTGCATACTTCTCAAAGGACTGTCCAGGCATTGTCCAGTTGGGTTCAAGTGAGCGACGTTCTCAATCCCCTGCGCTTGAAAGTAGTATTTAAATATCGTTTTCAACATGTTGATTTGTCCCAGGTCGCGGCGCCGCGTGAGGTTCGCGGAAGGGGGTTCTTAATTATGTACTCGCGGAAGTGCGGAAGCTTCGGCGGAAGCTGCCCGAAAACAAGAAATTGTAGTTTTCCTTCACGCTAGGAAGCGAAAATAAATTTCAATCCCATTTGTCAATCCGCGGAAGCGATCGGAAGCGATTCCCTCTTCAAAACCTGTTGCGGAAGAAACCTTTCATGCCGCGCAAGCTTCGCGGAAGGGATTTGATCTTTCTCTTCGGCCACAAGTAGGTTTAGAAAACTGCTCAAGTGAGTCCATATAGGACATTGGTGCTGGCGAAGATGGTGAGATGCTGCTGGGCCAACTCATTGGCGAACCAGGCAAAACACGAAGGGTCACAAAGCTTTGTGGCACGTTCGTGCAAAACGGCAAAGGCTGACTTTCTTGATATGACATTCAGGGCCCAGCTGAAAAGATCAACGCAGTGATGGGGAATGCTGGTAGGATGCTCTGGCTTTGCCATGCGTGTTACGGAAAAAACAAACTGCGGATGGCATTCCCCTAGAGCCTTCTGTTTCGCCTGTGGCGAAGCCCCCCAAAATCCACCATCCGGCACCGCAAGACAAGGAAGCCTACTTTCGGATGCAAATGCGGGGCCGGTGATTGGCGGCCAGCGAGCCTTGCTTCAACCAGCACGAATGAAGTGCGCTTGATGGTCTTAGCCAAGGATGTCACACCCCAGCATCACTTTCAGACAGGAGTTCGTTGACCTGCACCCAGAGCCTTGGCAAACTGGACGGGGGGGGGGGTGGACGGTTGGAAGAGAAAGCTGAAGGCGAGCTCTCTAACGAGTTTGCACAGAGAACGACTGACGCCGAAGGCGACATGAGCGGCCACTGAGGACTTTCTTGGACGTGTGCAGAAGCTGAGAATCAACTTGGTGCCTTGACCAGACCTTTTCACCAACGAGGCAGCCACAATTGGCATGCTGTCACCGGCCAAGGTCAATGACAATACTCAGAAGACTCAGTGGGCTGCCAGGCTGAAATACTCCAAGCTCACCACAGTCACAAAAAATCAATTCATGCATCCGTGCGCTTGGTCCATTGTTGGGTAATCCCACTCGCATGCTTCAATTACAGCATGCAATGTCGTCATTGCCATCGGCGAGCCCGGCTGTTTGCACGCCAGAAAGACCCCTCCAAAGTCCTCAGCATTTAGATATCCGTGCTTCGGGGATTGCAGCCATGCGCGGGTGCAGCTCAGGATGCCACCTACGACTTGCTGCGCTTCCTGAAGTCTGGTGATGTGCCTCTTGGTTCTCAAGATAACGGATCACGGTAAATCCAAAAGCACCACGGTATACCACGGTGCATGTGCGTGTGTGTGCCCCCACCCTCACGGAGACCAGGCCCACCCTCACGGAGACCACACCCGCCATACCCGGAAGTGGAACGCAGCCACTCGTTCGCAAGGCTAGCGCCAGAAACCGGGGGATTTGTTGGTGTGGCCTGCTCGAGGCTGCGATTCCTCACCTTCTGCCCAGAGGCACCTTGTCTCAGTGTCAGCATGGCTGCATGGCTCATGGCCCCATGGCTCTTCCTCGAAGCCAAGGCCGCCCAAAATTACACCTTGAAGGTCACAGCATTGGACTCCAACGGCGATCCAATCGACTACTTCGAGGACGATCTTTCTCAAAGACAGCCACAGAGCTTAGCCAAGAAATGGTGAATCAGGATGACGAGATGCACTTGAATGCCACCCCTGGACCTCCACCTCCAGCAGAAGAGAAGGAACCCGACCTTCCGAATGTAAAGCTACCCGGCTTGGGGAGTCGGTTACGATGTACATCCATCATGACGCACCCCGCTCTTGTCCGCCATTTCCCCCCCTGCCAAAGCAAGCCTTTTGGTCCCATGTCATTGTGCCGCGGTGACGTGGTGCCTTTGTCAAGTGTTGTTCTTGGAGCATTAGCGACTTGGCTTGTGTTCAATCAGCGAGAGGCTCATCAAACGTGTGCCTTCCGCAGTTTGCCGAGGGAAGCGGAGAAGATGGCTGAGGAGGCCTTGGTCAAGGAGCCAGGACTCGAGAGCGGCGGCCTCAAGACCGAAGAGGAGGAGCCGCCGGAGGAGGGTGACATCACCCGGGAGATCATGCACGAAGAGCCTCTCAGCTAGCGAGTTGCGGCTATGTTGACTTGGCCTGAGCACCTCGGGGCTCGTGGCATTTGGCGCTTGTGTGTGCAGTGCAATTGGCAGGCTCGTTGAATTTGAAGCCCAGGTCGCTGGAATGATCGCATCCGAGCGGGTCGGCATAACAGTGCTCAAAGATGCTCAAAGCAAAGACGCACTTGGAAGCAAAAGAGCGAGAGAGCGGATAAAATAGTATCAAATTCAAACACAAGCTTCAAGCACAATGGAGGTCAAGCAGTCCATTCCATTGAACCGAGTTGAAAGCCCCGTGTGGCTCAGTGCCCGTGCGCAGGCCCGCCCTGTTCTGAGTGCCGTTTGATCTGCGGGGAGTCTGTTTGTTTCACAGGGCGGGTTGGAGCGCGCGTGACCCACTGTGCTTAAGGGGCCTTTGCCACACCCGAAGCCTTTTGCCGGCCAAGTGGGCGCTGGAAAGAAGAGCTTTCCAACTGCAGAAATTGCAGGGCGCGAGAAAACGGATGCTGCTCCCTCTCAAGATGAGCACACATTTGACATGTGTCGGGCACAAATTGGGTTTGCATGCATTCAATATATGCATGCAGGATCCAAACTTGTGCACGGGCAGAGCCTGGAGGCATGGAAAATCATGTCTCTTTCTGTCTCAAGTTGCACTCCGCGCTGCTTAATAATTTCTGCTTTGCCTAGCGGGGCGCGGTTCGCTGCCAGGCGTAGAATTTGTGGAAAGGTTCTGGACGGCAATTCCGGCTGGCAGCATGTTTGAGCCTTTGCGGGTTTCTTTTGGTGTTCTGCCCGCATGCGTGTGGCACCGATTGGGCTGAGGTGGCTCTGTGGGAAGCTGGGAATGGTACAGCCGGCTTGCCTTGTGATGCACGCAATTCTGAGGCTCTCAGAGTTGGCAAAGGTGCGCCGTTTCTGCGCCCAACGCGGTGTGCATGTGCCCAAGCAACCAGCGCATGGCTTAGCCCGCTTCAGACAAGTGCGGCGGGCGTCAAAGAGCGGACTTGCAGTCAGAGTCGTTCATGTTGGTTCTTCCTTATGTGCGGTTATTGCACACCTGAAACTGCATTTGTGCGGATGGCTGTAAGTCACATGGCACCTGTAGACCAACACCAGGGAAGCATAATTTTAGCTGTCTTTCCATGTCCCTCAGACATTGCGTTTTGATTGCAGTTCTTTGTGAGCTGCCGATGCCCCCCCCAATAAAAATAAATAAAAGATAAACTAATAAGTATTAGTATCATTAGTGTCATCATAATAGTAATAATAATGATAATAATAGCATACAATTTGAGCTAGTTGCAGACCTTTGCCAGGTGTCCAAGCTACTGGGAAGGTGCAGCAGCTGCAGCCGATCTGAGGAAGTTTCGCGACAGTAGTGGCACACTAGCAGAAAGGGTGGCAAGGATAGCATGCAGCAAGCTCAGAGATGATGATGGGCTAACCATGTGTGAATTTGTCATGCGAGCCATTTGTTTCACGTTGCTATTTCACGAACTGGAACACACGCTGTTTCTTCCGTTGAGCACCGACACGCGTGAAGAGTGCGCATTTGAAGCGGGCTCAAGTGCCAGCACTTCTTTAAGGTTTGCCTGAAGGGCAAGTTGCGCTTAGGTCCGTAGGTTCCATGGTGGATATATCTCTTGAGTCTGTGGATGGTGATGCCCTCCCCAAGGACTTGTACCTCTCCGTCCGGGTCGGCGACCAGCAAAAGTTCTCCAAGGCCAACAGTGCCCGGACCTACAAGTTCCCAGCTCCTGAGCGACGCTACGGCAAGCTGGAGATCTATCGGCGTGTGGGTGTGTCGAGTTTGAGCCTTGACGCGGAGCATGTGCAGGGCAAGCACGAGTTATCAGTGGAGGTGGACGACGAGAGGATCCCGAGCAAAGAGGTGAAGTACCACATGTGCTTGGGATCTACCGGTAGCCTGCCCACTTCTCCCTCCCAGCAGGCCGAGGCAGCCAAAACAACAGAGAAGGTGACCCAGGCACGCGAATACCTTCAACACCACCAGCTGGAGCAGCGCTTGTCTGAGGCCATGCAGGCTGTACTGCGAGAGCGCCCGGAGGACCCTGCCGCCTTTATCGCCCAGAAGCTTCAATCCAACGCGGGCGTGCTGAAGCGGGTGGCGACCGCGGTGGCCCCACCGGCGCCACCGGCCCCCGTGCCCGCCGTCACCGTCACGGCCCCGGTCGAGGCAAAGGCGCCGGCCGAGGCGGCGCCGGCCGCTCCGCCGCAGCCCGAAGCGGCCCCACAGCCAGCCCCCGCTCCTGAAGCAGCCCCTGTGCCCGTGGCCCCCGTGCCTCCCGCGGCGGCCCCCGTGGCGGCCCCCGTGGCGGCCCCCGTGGCCCCGCCGGCCCCGCCGGTGCAGGGCACGCCGGTCTCGGCCGCCGCACCCTGCGAGGTGCAGCCAGAGGTGCGGATTGAGCTCAGCTTGCCCGTGGACTACCCTTACCCATCCAACAGCTTCGCAGATCCCATCTCCACGGCGACACTCATGATCGGCGAGAACATGTGCAGCTTCGCCAACGTCGGACGGCCTGCGGTCATGATCTTTTGAGAGCCTGAGGCCTGCATAGGCTCTCCCAGTTGAATTATCATGCCGCGGTGCATGACGCGGGCAGATGGCTGTTTGCCACGCTGGCCCTTGTGGCGCAATGTGCTTGTGTTTGCACTCCTCAGTTGCATCAGTTGTGCGATGTTCGCCTGGCACAATTGAGGTCTCACTGATTGGATATGCTGCGAACGCAGCCTGGTCCAATGCCTCAGTCATCACAAAGCAAAAAATGAGTGTGAAGATGCCTTCCATGCTTCCACTCTCGGGGCGGAAGGGACCTGTGGACACTCCTGCGAGCATTGCGCTTGCTTGGAGCATTAAACTTAGTCGAGAAAGGCGTTGATCTTTGGCCGACGTTGTGGGACATGTCCGCTGAAGCTTTTGGCTCTTGCCTTTCCATCGTTTTGAGCTCTCCGGCCTCCAGTGCGGTTCGGCCAGATGGCGTTGGTGTCATTACCGTGGACAGTCCACCGGTGAACTCGCTGGGCACAGAGTTGGTGACTTCCTTCAAGCAAGAGTTTCCCAAGCTCGTCCAAGACCCCAAGGTGAAGGCAATCGTTGTCACTGGCAGGGGGGGCATGTTTTGTGGCGGTGCCAGATCACAGAGTTCGCTGTGATGGCAAGGAGAATGACCCGGTTGCAGCTCTCAGCGAAATGATGGACGTGATTTGGCGGCCTTGAACGGACCTGCCTTGGTGGCGGGTGCGACGTGAGCTTGGCCTGCCATTACCGGGTGGCTGCGGCCGCATCCTCCTGTGGGATTCCGGAAGTGAACTTGGGCCTGCTGCCTGGGGCGCAGGGCACGCAGCGCCTGCCCCGGGCAGCACCTTTGCCCGCAGCCATGCAGATGATCCTTCAGGGAAAGCCGCTCAAGGCAGATGCGGCCAGGAAGAATGGCATCATCGACGCGGTGGCCGGCAAGGGTGGCCGAGGAAGCTGCGGAGTTTGCGTTGTCACATCCGCCCAATCCCATTTCCAAGAGGAAGTGCCAAAGACCAACAGTTTCATGGTGGCGGCTGGAACTTTGGAGTCGGGCCTCAAGACAGCGGTGAAAGCAGCACCTCTCATGATCGCTCCACGGTCCATCATCAAGTGCTTCGATACGGCCTGCTCCAAGAAGAGCTTCCGAGAAGGCCTCCGTGGAAATGGAAGAGTTCACCAAGCTGGTCTTCTCCGTGGAGTCGGCTGCTCTGAGGCACCTCTTCCTAGCGGAGCGTTTGGCACAGAAGGCGCCGGCATCGATGAGAGGCACGCGCCACTGAAGAAGATCGGCATCCTGGGGGCCAGGCTGATGGGCGGTGGCATCGCCATGTGCTTCGAGCAGAAGGTCGTGCCAGTCGTGCTGAAGGACGCGCAAATTTGATGACATACCGTTCACTGGTCATTGAGCCATTGGTCATGACACTTGCTTTGCAGTGCCATTGCGCGGGCAGGGCACAAGTTGCACGGTGCCGGTCAAAGGGATTTAGATTGATGGTTCTCAGCTTTTGTTTGCGTGCGTTTTCCCGCCGCACCCGCGAGTTCAGAGCCGCCCGCCTCGCCTGAGGGAATAGAACATATATGTGCTTGGAATGCAACCAAAACCTACCCTTGATATTTAGCAGGCGGCCGGCGACATGAAGAAGCAGACGAAGACATACGGCCCCTACGAGCACACGCATTGTCCCAAGATCAAGGCGAACGGGCGTGGCATTTTCATCCACCGCGGCAGGAGAAGGTGGTTAATCGCGAGGTGGTTGCCCAGCTTGACGTGGTGCAAAAGATGAAGGGTATGCCGCCCAGAGCTGGTAGCGATCGTGGAACGGCTCTTCTACTCCATGATCAAAGAGGGCTTCAAGATTTTGGAAGCAGGCTGTGCGGCCCGGTCGTCGGGCATCGACATAGTGTACATTTATGGGTACGGCTTCCCTCCTTCGAAGGGCGGGCCCATGTTCTTCGCGGAGAACTACGTGGGCTTCAAGCAGATCCTGGAGAAGGTGAAGGTCTTCGATGCTCAGGCCAAGGAGAGACACACGAAGAACCCCCTGTATTTGCCCATCGACTATTTGGGCCCTCCGAGCTGTTGGAGGCATGTGCTGCCAAGGGGGCACCAAGGTCTTCCCAGGCCAAACGCTCATCGACGTGGTGCTGAAGGATTCCGGAAGAGCGGCTCGCAGCGGCTCCGGCTCCGGCCCCTTTTCCATTGTTTTGGCAGGCACGGCGCTGGAGCTTCAAATGAAGTCCACGGCCGACTGAATTTCTTAGGGCGCAACTATATCAGAATTTGGCCCCTCTAGCCCACAGGCACGCTTGACCCGTAGCGACCGGAACGACCACAGAGGCCACATGCGTGCCTGGCTGGGTCAGGCGCTATGTGGTCCTCAGAACATGCAACGGGTCATGGAGAAATACGTGCCACGTGCATTGAGCAGCTGCACTCGTCATGGGGCACCTGGTAGGCGAGAACCTGCTGCAGCCGTTTTTCATCGATCAGGATGATCCTCAAAGCCTAGGCTCAAGTGGCGCTAGCATTGAGGAAGGGCGGCCAGGTCTTGCTAGGGCACCTGTCTCATTCTGCACACCCATGATGCATTCACCAATTCCCGAAGCGAAAGATGCTTTAGACTTCTGAAACGCGTGAGCAGTCAAGAAGAAGGTGCAGCCGTCGGCCATGTCGATACCCTATGCCCAACTTCTTGCTGAGGCCCCCGCCTGCATTTGCCTGCAAAACGGCGCACAGCTGCCACTATTTCGCATGTTGCCCAACAGTCAGTGCCATTTCAGGCTAGTAGTGCGGTATCAAGTCCTGTCTTGTTTGCCGCAAGTCCTTGCAAAGACCCGCCTCCATCCTACGATGCACCAGGCGAAAAGCGAGCTAGCTGCGCTGACCTGGCTCGCGGAGCAGCCGCTTGCTTTTGACCTCGGATCATGCATTTTGCACTTTGAATATTTGGGTGCAGATGGTGCAGGATGTCCCGGGTCACATCTGGTTTTTTAACTGACATCTCCATCCCAGAAGATCCCAGGCCAGCAGTTGCAGCTGCTCTGGAACTCGCAATGTCTGACGAAACCGCCAAGGCACAGTGACTGCTTGCACAGCCGATACTGGGCGGGGGGGGGGATGCCATGAGACAGGAGACAGCTGCGCTGCAGATAGTCGAAGCCGTCCGCGAGATGGGCTTTGCTGGTGAAGAGCCAGGGCAGTTGTCAGCATTGTGAATCTGGTTGTGCATTGGCCCCAAGCTTCCCACAGATATGGTGTGCATGCAGCCAGCGAGGGGTGGGCGATTGAAGCGAGGCTCAAGCACCAGAGCTTTGAGTTTGCCTCACTAAAGCGCGAGTCGAATTGGTTGGTCAGTTGGAGCGTAGCTAGCCCTTGGTTTCATGGTGGATATATCTCTTGAGTCTGTGGATGGTGATGCCCTCCCCAAGGACTTGTACCTCTCCGTCCGGGTCGGCGACCAGCAAAAGTTCTCCAAGGCCAACAGTGCCCGGACCTACAAGTTCCCAGCTCCTGAGCGACGCTACGGCAAGCTGGAGATCTATCGGCGTGTGGGTGTGTCGAGTTTGAGCCTTGACGCGGAGCATGTGCAGGGCAAGCACGAGTTATCAGTGGAGGTAGACGACGAGAGGATCCCGAGCAAAGAGGTGAAGTACCACATGTGCTTGGGATCTACCGGTAGCCTGCCCACTTCTCCCTCCCAGCAGGCCGAGGCAGCCAAAACAACAGAGAAGGTGACCCAGGCACGCGAATACCTTCAACACCACCAGCTGGAGCAGCGCTTGTCTGAGGCCATGCAGGCTGTACTGCGAGAGCGCCCGGAGGACCCTGCCGCCTTTATCGCCCAGAAGCTTCAATCCAACGCGGGCGTGCTGAAGCGGGTGGCGCCCGCGGTGGCCCCACCGGCGCCACCGGCCCCCGTGCCCGCCGTCACCGTCACGGCCCCGGTCGAGGCAAAGGCGCCGGCCGAGGCGGCGCCGGGCCGCCGGCCGCTCCACCGCAGCCCGAAGCGGCCCCACAGCCAGCCCCCGCTCCTGAAGCAGCCCCTGTGCCCGTGGCCCCCGTGCCTCCCGCGGCGGCCCCCGTGGCGGCCCCCGTGGCGGCCCCCGTGGCCCCGCCGGCCCCGCCGGTGCAGGGCACGCCGGTCTCGGCCGCCGCACCCTGCGAGGTGCAGCCAGAGGTGCGGATTGAGCTCAGCTTGCCCGTGGACTACCCTTACCCATCCAACAGCTTCGCAGATCCCATCTCCACGGCGACACTCATGATCGGCGAGAACATGTGCAGCTTCGCCAACGTCGGACGGCCTGCGGTCATGATCTTTTGAGAGCCTGAGGCCTGCGATTCTCACCCAACCCAAGGGACAGACGCGCTGCTCCAATGCCCGCTCCATGTGACAGGAGCGGTCTAGACAGCCTTGAGCTGGCATGTAGTGGCACATGTCGGGATTGATAGCTTTGATGGCTGGCTGGCGTTTGTGGCATTTGCAGCTGTCTTTGCCTACCAAAATGGACATTGGTGTCACTGTTGGGATAGCTTTGCTTGGCTTTTAGCGGGATGGTGTGGACCGGTTGCTCTACTGCAAATGCTCGGCTGCACTTGAGATACTCGCCCAAGGCCAAAGGCATGGCGTTAAAGTAATGGCGCTCAGCCTGCATTGCTTGCGTCACGTGCGGTGGCCGTTTGTGCAGTGGCACATTTGCCCCTGCCTCTTTTGCATGACATCTGTGCTTGGGAGAGGCCTGAACCGCCAACAAAGCGAGCGAGGACAGAGTCGAACTCAACTCTGGCCACTTGGAAAGCATTTCATACTTTATGCTTCTCAATGTTCGTTGCGTGGAAGATGTGTTGGGGCGGGTCTTGACTCGGCAGGACGTTTGTATTCTGATTGCTAAAGTTGCTTGATTGTGGCGTTTTTTGAACAAACCAAAATATGGTGTGGAATGCACAGCGCCCAGAGATGCTGAGGTACCCCCACCAGCCGTCCAGCCTCAGGCACACGGGTGCACTTCTTGAGAGGGCCGGCTTGAGTTTGGTGAGGCCATCGTGCTTGCCCATGTCATTCGAGGGGGTGCTTCTTCTATGTTGGCTCGCGTGAAGCATTGATCAGAGCAGCACACAAAAAAAAAGAGATTAGATTTATCTAAACGGTTTCCCAAATAGCTTCCGCCAGAGGAACCCCCAGCATCGGGAGGGCTGCTCGTTCAGACGGCGCTTGGGGCAGGCACCGTGCGAAAAGAGCAGGCGTTGACGGTGCATTTGCGTATCACTGTGCACAGGCTGCTTGCCAGTTTCGAAAATGAAGAGGGATTTGCACGAAAGCTCCTCGAAATCTTTGCGAAAGCTCCACGAAGGGCGTGGGTCCAGTCCAAGGGGTGGACTCTTTTGCACACTATTCTTGTACTGAAGAGTTGAGGTTCTTGAGCTTGAGCTGCCAAAGTGCACTTAGTGTGCTGCGCTTGTTCTGCAAAGTTGTGATTGCAAGCTGGGGCTACCAAGTGGACCAAGTGTACTTGGTGTTTTCTTTTTGTGCTGAAAGGCCGGTTGCTAATTTCAAGAAGCCACCACGAAAGGAAGACGCGCGAGCGAAAGCCCCGCGCAGCAGCACAATGAGGGACCGAACCCCGATCGGCTTTGAGCACCGCTCAGCTTCGTGAGGCAGTTGGTCACGCAAGATGCGTGTGTGTCGTGCTTTCAGGCGGGTCTTGTGCAACATAAGGGGGAGGATTCCTAGAAGGCTTCCTGGGCTGTCTGCAAACGCCTTTTGCAGGCATGCGGGGTGCTGGCAAGACGGCGCTCTGCAATATTCTGACCCAGGCCACCAGGAAGTGAGTTTGCGGCACGCGATTTCATTGCATGCGCATAGGGCCAGTGGGAGGCGAGGGCCTCCACGTGCAAAGCTCCAAGCGGCGTCAGGTGTTGGGCGGAGAGCACGTGCACTATGATGAGATTACCAGAGGCCAAAAGCGCTCTTTCCCTGGCTGCTTGTGTGCAACTGGTGAGTTGATGCCATGGCATGGCATGTGCATACTGGATGCATTTCTCCAAATGTTCACTCAGGTAGCTTGAAGGAGATCTTCAAACGCAGCCTGCAGGAAACGCGGGGATGGCATGCTGAAGCTGAAGGCAGGACACTTGATGAGAGTTGGGCACTCGAGTCACCTAATTGAAGATAGCGAGGCGGTTGCATGTTGGAGGAGTATGCCATGATAGCCCAACAGCCAGAGTAGCTGGCGGCAATCTCCTGGTCAATTTTAGCTGTTGGGCTAAAATCCTCATTCAGAGAAGACCGCAGGTGGCAGCGATGAGGCCAGTGGCACCCATGCAGCACATGCTGGGAGTGGCTGGTTGTTTCTGGGTCAGGCAAAGCCTGACCCGCTTCTGCTCTTCATCGACAGGACAACCCTAGCCATTCACATTTCCACTGTGAGATGCCAGCAAGCCAGCCGCAGGACTCATATTCTTAAATCCCAGCGAGAGGAGACCATCAACACATTGGTCCACTTTCGCTGGCGTCAGCGCCATTGCAGGACGCAAGCATGTTTGCACCCAATCCCACGCCCCAAACTGACCCTGCTTTGGCAATGGAAGGTGGAGGGTGCAACTCAGCAAAGGCTTCTTCTATTCACTTGATGCAGGACGCTCCTCGTGGAATTTAGCCATTCGGAAGACGTGTTTGGCTATGATACTGGTGGGCAACTCTCGAAGCGATTTGGAGAGCGGCACATCGCACTGCGCCTTGAAATTCAAAGCAGAATGAGCATGCTTGCCATGATTGTAGCTTGCAACGATGCAATGGTGAGGTGCGAAGAAAGAATTCGCAATCGGGGCGTCGCTCATCATGCACTGCGGCCGTCGGAAAAGCTGCGCTCGGTCTTGCAGAAGGCGGGCCACTTTAAATGGAGGTTTCACCAGGACCTCCATGGCGAGTGTGCAGGAAGCGAAGCTTGCGCAGCCACCGAGCCCTGATGAACTGCGCAACTTTGATGGCTGCGTGTCGCTGCAGCTGGCAGACAGTCCCCCACAGCAAGCGCTGGCTGTGATCAAGGCGGGACACCGGGCAGTGTAAGCAGGTGCAATATGAAATGCTGGGTGCTTGTATGTAGTCTTTGAAAGTGCCCATTTGCAAAGAGATCTTCTGAGACCCAAGCGATCCCTAGCCTGTAGTTTGTCCAGTCAAAAGGGCTATGGCCAGGAGCTGCAGGACCGGTGGCTGAACACATCGGAAGACCTGGCCCTGAAGGCGGGCACAGCTGGGGTGTCAAATTTTTGAGGGTACCTTTAGTTTTGTGGCTTAAAGGGAAATCGCCAGCCATTTTGGGGTGCCCTAAACTTGGACACCCGCCTGGTCATTTTGGAGTTCGACTGCCAGGTGGAGCTTGCCTGGCAAGTCTTCCAGCGCGCAGAGGATCAATGGCGCCAAACAGCCACACCAAGAGAGCAAAGCCAATGGCGGGCGCAGTGCCGACAGGCGTCGCCCATCATGGCCTCCGAAAAGTCCATGCAAGCTGTTGGCAGATTGCAGGTTTGCAGTTTGCTGGCGGTTTGGATCACATATGTGCACTTAAATGCTGTCTGAATTTGTTTAGCATGAGCATGAAAATAGCTGGGACGGGCCACAAAGCAGTTTTGGGTGGACCCCTCTTTCTGGGGAAAGAAGTGCTTTCGGGCCTGCAAGCGCTTCAACTCCCATCGATAGGGCCTCTAGACGTGGCTGGGGCGGTCTTTCAGCTTTTTTAATGTTCGCTCCCTTCTTAAAGTTGGGGAAGAGGTACTATTTCCAAATTCTAATTCTTTTGACAGTAGCTCCAACAAGCCATAAAAGGTGGACCCCGCGTTGTCAGAGCCAAAAGTGCTTTCAGGCTTGCAAACGCTTCAACTCCTATCAATGGTGCCTTCAAATTTGAAAGTAGCTGGACTGAGCTACAAAGGCGGTTTTGGGTTGACCCCTGCATTCCCGCGATTCAATTAATATACGAAGCTGGGGCGGGCTGGTGGCCTCCTTTGATAGGCAAAGAAGTGCTTTCGGCTTGCTATCAGCGGCGCCTTCAAACACAAGCTATGAATTAGCTCTGCAGCTCAGAGCAAAAGTGCCTGTCGAAGCAGCTAGGACAAGCTACAACATCAGTTTAGGGTGGACCCCTCTTGATGAGGAAAGCGCTCAGCGCTCCTGGGCCTGCAAGCGCTTCAACTCCGATCACAAGTACCTTTACAAGCAACTGGAACAGGCACAAAAGCAGCTTTGCCTGCTTGATTGGCAAAGGAGTGCTTTTGGGCCTGCAAGTGCTTTAACTCAGACCAATATTACCAGGGCACAGTTTAAGCGGCCCCCCTTGGTAGGGAAGCGCGTTTGGGCCTACAAGAGCTCCAACTTCTATCAATTGTGCCTTTGTAGCTAGCTGGGCCTTTAAAGGCAGCTGGAACTTGATAATAGATTCGTTTTCTGACGTCAACTTGAGCGCTCGTAGAGCCTTCAGATTCCAGATGCGAATGGTTAGGCAGTGCTTGCGGATCATCGCTTTTGCCGAGTAGTTGCTGCCAGGCCACAGAGAAGGCAGACAAGGCAGCAGAGGAGGCAGGCCACCTGAACCACAAAGACGAGAAGAGATGCAAGAAGAGACAGGAAGACGAGACGAGAGGGAAGTGGTGGAGTGGCCTGCAAATTGTGGAAGGCCGCTGCAGCCAAACGCAAGACGAAGCTGAAATGCTGGAAGCTCGATCTTCCGGAGGCACGAAAAATAATGTTTGCCCGTATTTGTTGGTAGCATTTGAACTATGGCCTTTGTTGGTCAATGTTGGTCACGAGCCGTGGTTTCCCAGGCGAACATCATGCCACATAGCCACGAACACGTCATGTGACAGTGTTCAATTTGTAATGAGTTGCAATTGAATTGCTGTACGTGAAGAACCCAGCGGAAGCCAAGGCATTTGCTCAGCTTGTATTCTCGGACCAATTTGGAATCTCCACTCCAATGTGTCGGTCCTCGTTTCGAGACAATCTGTCAATGTCTGCCGTTGCTTTGGCATGCTTTGGCTCCTGCTGCTGCTCTTGCTGCTGCGGCTGGCCCTGCGGCTGCTCCTGCTTCTGCTTTTGATTGCTCCAAAAACTCCTCTTGCTGCTCAGACAGCCGCGTTGCAATTGTGTTTTCTGCTCCGTTTCTTTAGGGCGGCGGGTGTTGCTCCAGTTTTCTGCTTTGGCTTGTTTGACCCTGCCTGGGAAACAAGCGCGCTCACATAATGGCAGCGGCTCCAGGTTGGCAGCAAGCTGCGGGAAAAGGGTGTGAATATGGAGACCCTGGAGAGATTCCAGGTGGAGCTGCTCACGGTCCCAGAAGGGAACCTGGAAGAGGCGGCGCAGGCCGCGCACCTTCCACTACGTGCGTCCACAAATGCTGCCAAGTGTTTGGGAAGCGTACTTGAGCAGCTGAGCAGGAGCACGGCCTCAGCAAGGAAGCGCTGGAAGTGATGACGGATGCGCTGGAATCCCTTGAGGGCGACGACACTCTTGAAGTGTTTGGGCTCTCAGTTGCTGAGTTGCGGGGTGCTGCATCCATTGACCGCACTCTGACCCTGCAAGAAGGACCGTGACGAAGATTGTGTACGCCAGCAGCGTCGTCTATTGCGTGGTTGAGCTGCCACCGGTGCCGCACGTCGGAAAGGCAGGCCAATTTCACGTCTTGTGTGTATGGGTCCTGGTGTTGCTTGAGGTGCCCCACTTCATGCTCTGCCGGGATCCGAAGGCTGCTAGCCTGCTAAGCCTCAGAATCCAGCGCGCGATGCACAGACCTCAGAGACTATCCCAGGTAGAGCCGCTGCCGTTGGTTGAGGACCTGCTGCAGCATCCTGAAGATGCTGTAGTCATCAAAGAGACTGCAGTTCCTGTGCCAGTGAAAGGCCGGAGTTCGCGTGTGCTTGGGGGGCAAGGTGGCTTCGCACAAGGTTTGCCCCCCTCCTTGCTGCGGTTTTGTGATGTTTCGTGGGGGGGGTGCAAAAGATCTCGCGTACTTTCGGAGAGCAACTGCGAGCCAGGCCGAAGCCAACCTACCTAACCCACCTAACCCAAAACCAAACCCACCCCATACTGAAGTGAGTCAACTGTAAACTGGTCCTGACCTGAAACTTCATCCCAAATTCACTTTAAAAAGTCCACCTTGCAATTGCCAGTGCCAAACTTGAGGTTGGTTGACGCAAGTTTGGAGAGGAAACCTGTGCTTTCATCGCAGGCCACCTCATCATGGAGACGCGCGAGCAGATCGAAAAACTGTGAGCTTGTCCGCACGCTGGGCCTGGCTACCAATGGATCACCACAGCATGCATAGATGCGCGGGTGCGGTGCCTCACAGCAACAGGCAGCCAGCTTGTGTTGCTTGCACATGATCAGCCAGCCGTGCTTAAGTTTGAGGCAGCCAAAAATTGCTGCTACCATTCGGTATAGTACAAATGCAACATTCGCCCGCGTGCTAGCAGCGTTTGTGTGTTTTGGTGGTAAGGGAGGGTGAGCTGTGGCTTGCGCCGTTGGAGCCCATGCCTGGAGCCGATGCTCGGAGCCAATGCTCGTGAAGTGCTAGTGGCCACAGGCATCGGCAGTACGTGTCAACGTTTGGTTGCCTTGGTTATTGGTTACATAAGAGTCGCGCACGCGCAGAAGCCATTGCTGTGCATGTGCTATGCGTTGCTTTTCAGGGACTGCTGGCTGGTATAAAACCTGGTTGGCTAGCGCGTGCCAGTGCCTAATCGCTGCTTATGCATGGGTGCCCATGGTAGCTCCGTTGTTCCACCGACAGGCATGCTTTTGTTGTCCTGCTGCCGGCGACGGGCAGCCATGGCAGCGTCGCCAGACATAGGCCGCATTTCTTGGCAGCTTGCAGTCTGCTTTTCCAGTGGGTGGGTCGGCAGGCAAGAGCCACTTTGTACTGTGCATAAGTTTGTTCAGGGGCTAAAGGCAGAACCACGGAGCTGTTTTCAGCGTTTGCCTCAGCACTTTGTCGGATACCAGGATCTGCGCCAGAGCTCCCCGTCAGCTGCCAAAGCCAAGCAGCGAGAGGCAGAATCTGCTTCTTTTTTCTTCTTCGGACGTGTGTCAGCTGGCAAGCAGTGCGTGTACAGGAGTAACTTGCCATTGACACATGCACGTGTCCGCACTTGATGGCAGGAGACGGCTGGGTGACATACCTACTCGTTTCTCCGACCCGATCCTCGATCACCGGCTTTGCACGACAGCATGACCTGGACAACATCATACGCTGGCACAACGGCAGGGACTTCGACTCATTGCCTGCGCCACCACAGACCCAGATTTTGAGGCAAGTCTGCACCCATTTGCAGCTGGGTGCCTGTTCTATTTCTTCTTTACGTTTCCTGCGTTGAATCCAGCGCAAGACACGGCAGCGAAATTTGCAGTTGACATGTCGATTCGGTGTCGGCATCCGACTGCTTTGGGGTTTACATATGCAGCATGCATATAGTAATATAGACCAAAAGAAGAAGATGGAAAAAACAAAGAAAGACACGCAAACTTCTGCGGATGTTTTTGTGAAGTGCATCCGCGTTGGCTGAAGCGAAGGCCTTGGCGCCTGGCCGAGCTGGTGCAACAGGCCAGCGAGGCGCAGGCGCGTGAGGCCGCCTGGCAGGTGAGCGGCCAGAGCGGGTTCCGGGCGCGGCTGGCGGCCTTGCGCAACGGGAAGGCGGTGAAGGCGGGTGGGTCGTAGGCGTCGGAGGCTTGGCCTTGGAGCCAACAGGCAAACGCGTCCAGTTCCAGAGCAATCTTATGAATCCGGCCCGGAAGCAAACAAGGGATGCATGGCCCCGAAGGCGTCCACTTCAGAGGCTTTGCCTCTGGACAAAGCTTTGGATGCCTTGACCTATGTGGAGGTAGAGCCACTTGGAGCGAAGAATCACAAAGCATTATTGTTTTTGTCAGTTACACATATAATAATATACAAGAGCGCCACAATCCCTTATGAAAGGAGTTAATTGAGGGCTTCTCCTAATCTAACGAAGCCTTGCGAAAGCTAAGACACAGGGCGCTTGCGGCGAAAGTCATTGAAGAAGAGCCCAACACGAAAGCGTCACTTTTGCGGTTTCTGTGTTGCTCAAGAAAGCTCCGCGGAAATGATCATTACAAAACACATGCCCGCGAAAGTGAAGCGTGTGGCCTCGAAAGCATCGCGAAAGGTTGCGAGAAAGAGGTTTGTTTGTAGAGGGTTTCTTGTGTGCCCTATTCTCGGCACCGCTCACATACGCGTGAACATGAATTGAATTTGTCCCCGGCCCCGGCGCCCCGGCGCCCCGGCCCCGGTGTAGATGTATTTTCATGTTTCATCCGTTCGTCCGTCCGTTCATAGGACTCGGGTCCGCCTGCACGTGATCCGCCCTCCTGGCACGACAGTCAAATTGGCAATGTTCTGCACGGCAAGTCGCACTGTGACATGCTTTGGCAAAGTGAGGTTTAGCCACCCTGATGACCAGACGCGCCGGAAGAAAGTCTTGGCGCTAGTGGATACCGGATGCAACGACTGCGATCTCAAGGGCTCCATCATTGCCCCTTGCCTGGAAACTGCTGCTTGGACGAGGGGCCCTCATTCTGAGACTCCTTAGCTCGCCAAGGCTACAGTAGGATCACCTAAATAAGAGTGAGACGTGTCATGTGCAGCCTGGCAGTGAGCCTGCCACCAAGGATGAGCTAAAGCTTTCGAAAGCACGAAGAGGTGGCACATCAGTGGAGACGGCGGCAAATCGCATCGCGACTGGCTTCAAGCCGTTTACCATGATCCTCCCTTCAAGACAGCAAGAAACACCAGGGTACTGCGTGCCCTTTGGAATCTAATTGTTTGGAGTAGCTAAATTGTGGAGCTCGATCAGATTCGATCAGTAAACCACCACCCCCCCAAGGTTTGAGAAAGCCTGATCATGGGGGGTTTCTGGGGCTCCCTCGGATGAATCCGAACCTGGCCCGTCCTTTCCGGTCTTTCCCTCGTGCTGTAATAGGAAGGTAAAAAGAATCTTCCAGGGCTGGAGAGGGACTTCGGAATTTGGTGTTATTCGGGCTAGCCTTGAAGGGCGGGGGGGTACCCTTTACGAGCTTGTCACACCTTGTTGTTTCTTACAAATCGTAATAATGAGACATCTGCTGTTGCGGTTAGCCTTTAAACAATCTGGAATGGCAACCCTTGAGACTACGAAAGGAGTTGGCATTGGCAAAAGCATTGGCAATAGCTTTGGTAATTTGAAGTTTGGCCGGAAAGGGACGTCTTTATTCAGAGGGGGTTCTGGGAGGTGCCCCAAAAAATTGAGAGGGTTTTTGTTGGTCAAACCTTGTGGGCGCCTTCAAAGTAGGCAGTCGGCTGGGAAAACCGGGCGTTATTACTCAGAGGGGGCTCACAAATCCACAAATCAGGTTCCACCAGTAGACAGCAAACTTAGGGAAGGGTGCAAGGAGTTGGGGTACCCCAATATACTGTTGAACGAATGGTTTAAACCTTTGGGCGTGTTTGCAATCTGAGGTGGAGATCCCGATTTTCAAGGCAGGGGACCGGCGTACGGTGAATCGCATCTTGGCTCGTCAGGCCACCCTGCACGTGCAGGGCCACCAGGCATCAGTGGAAGTGAGCCCGGCTGATGAGGATTATTCGGCCATTGGAGGCCGAAGGGCGGTGAGTCTTTCGGCCAGTTCGACATTGGCTGCCGCCAGGCGGAGTGGCGACAGCTGTGGCCTGAGTTTGTTTCTTGTGACAGCGCTGTGCGTTTTGGGTCGGATCGCACAAAACGCAGATGCACTAACGGCGAAGCCTGTTGAGTTGTTTTGAGATTGTAGATGCATATTTAGGGGGAACCCATGTCTGATTCCACATCCTGCCACGTAACACACCAAGCAATCATACTGCTCCAAACGTTCAAGACTGATTTATCAGGAGGATGATGTGGACAAGGAGTTCGATTTTAGTAGCAGCAGTGACGAAGCGGTGATTCTTTGCTGCAAACATCGCTTTGATTGGGAACTGTGAAGGCTTTTGGATAGGCCTTCTAGCCGTACAGATTGCGCTCGCATGTCTCAGGATTGGGGCTGATGCGCTGGCATCGCTGGGGCTGCTGGTCGACTGCAAGACTCGGCAATTGCTCCCCGCTGACAGGTGCTAGAGTCTGCTAGAGAAGCATGCTTCGCCTTGTGGTTCTAAAGGTGTTTGGACACCATTTGGTCTGTAGTCCATTCCCTTGAGCGTTTCAACCAAAGAGATGCATTGTCTCGAATGTTTGGGAGGCGTGAGCTGCTTTGGGTGGAGAGCTTGCCCCGGGTCTCCCGCAGCCACTGCATTCACGTGCCTCGAACTGTGGACTGCCTTTTGTGCTGAGTCTGTCTGAAACTCTGAAGCGTAGGGTGCAGCCAAACTAGCAGCAAGGACTGTACATGCTGCTCCTTCTGTTAGATTCCGAAGGTGCAAGTTGGCGTTCGGAATCCGGATGTGGACGGCAAGAGTCAGGCCCGGTGAGCCAGCGGTTTGTGTGCAAAGTAAGGAAGGCAGCACTGAGGCAGAGCTTTTATGACAAAGGTCCTCGAAGGTGTAGCCTCGTGTTCCGAGTTGTTACGGCCCAGGAAGTGCGTGTGAAGGCTCTAGTCGACACTGGATCAACTGATGTCGACGCCAAGACTGCATAAAGACGTTGTATGGGTCGTAGTGGTTGCGAACGTCAAGGAAGTGCAAGGCACAACGCTCGAAAAGCAGCCTTATTCCGCTGCATTCATACCCAAGGACCTACATAAGTCCAAGATCAAAGCCTTGAACTTGGAAGTGGATGAGTCTGCCGCCCGGCCGAAATTCGTCTTCCGGTCGCTTTCTTTGCGCGCTGGAACTCAGGAACTCCCAGCTCTGTTTGAAACGGCTGGAGGTGTGACCACATCAGCTCCCATTTACTGGGCAGTTGTACGACTGCGGGACAGTGCCTTGGCTTTTTTTTTGATAAGTTGCAGGTTGTGGTGTGGCCCACATGGTTTCGACCCACAGTGTGTTGATGCAATCCTGCAGCAGGAGAGGCACGCGTTCGCCTTAGCCCCTCATCGCCACATGGGGATGAGAGTGATGAAAGTGAGGCCACGGTGCGTTGCGGCGTTGCGTGGTTCCAATCTCTACAGAATCCTCATTTACTCTCGGCCAGGATGACGCTTCGGAGAGCAGTGATGAAGATGATGAAGAAGCTTTGCTTGGCCATGATGCCACCCTGCAGCACTTCAGCATGATAGGCCCATTGGTTTGACTGTCGACGTGAGGCCTTGGCCGCCTTGGGGCTTTTGGTGGACTGCAAAAGCCGACGGCTGCTGCTGGCGGAGAATGCTTCTCAGCTGCACCAAGAGCAGGTGTCTACATCAAGATCAGGATGCCTGCCGGTCACTTTTTTCCCTTTGTCGTGCTCGTGGGGTTCTGTTGCCAGGTGCCGGTGACTGACATGCAGCAACATGGTGGGGTGTTTGTGCAGAAGCGTCGCCGTCGGGAAGAGAACGGAGATGCGTGAGAAAGGGGCCTTGGCTGTTTGGACCCTGAGCGCTCAAGGGTTGCGTATGCTTGTGGCCATCCATGGCAAGTCTTGATCTCAAAATGTTTATCTCGAGTCTATATGCAACTTTTGCAAGCAGAGCGTTGTGTGAGCATGTTTCAGATGTAGCCTCATGTGTTCTAACGTGCTCACGATGCGATTGCTGTTTCAGCTGCTTCGGCTCCAGCCGGACCTCACCAACATGAATTTACTAGCGCGCAAGCGATGAGCGTCCGCCATGCTTATTCCACTCCTTCCAAGATTGCTGATGGGCAGGAAGCCGTTTTCAGATACAGGCATCGCGGGGACTCCTGGGAAAATTGGGAAAAGAGCAAGGAATGCATTGGGCATCCTAGACTCACCTGTATTTTGGTTTGCCCGGTGGTACTGACAACCGTGCTGCTTGCTGTGACGGTGAACCTTTTCTGGAAGACTAGCTTCGACAGTGGGCTGCTTCGCCAACAGACTGCTGATGCTTTGATATTGTCCAACTTCAATGCGTCATCCACAGATACTTGGCAAATGTGGGGATGTCACCGGGATGTCCTTTTCTGTGTTCAATTGCTTGCTTGCACATGGAGGCTCTTGCGCTTGTGTAGGAGTGGCCAGTGCGAGCATAAGTTTCTTAACCCTGTCGTTTGTCAAGCCAGGCAGTCCTTACGATGATGGCACATCACCTGCAGGCGACGTCAGCTAGATCAGCAGTCGAAAGCATCTCAAAGTTTATGAGCTTGCCACAGCTAGTTGCGGAGATCAATGCGGATGCTGCAGAGTTGTTGTCTTTTGTGGAGTCCGAACGGCTAAGCCGAATGTTGAGGACATCCTGGAATCAGATCACACGTCTCTTCGTTGATGTGGACTACATCTACTTTGCCGACAGCGACGGTGCCTTTGTTGGCTATGAGCACCTTCCACAGAGATTTGTTGAAGATACCAACGCTCCAACACGATTCGGGGGTGAGTTTCGGCCTTCGGATGCAATGGGAGCTTCGAGCCAATGCCCATTGTGCCCACCACCTCAAGCTCTGCAAGCTGGCAAAAAGACTTACTACTTCGTGGATGAGAGGGGCAAGTATGTGCAGACGTACAAGATCAGTGACTATGACCCCCGTACCCGTCCCTGGTACGAAAAGGCAGCAGCTGCCAAAGGCAAGGTGGTGTGGATGGACATCTACAACCACAGCAGCGGCCATACACTGGGAATGACGGCAGCCAAAGCAGTCATGCGAGGCAATGAGGTGTCTGCCATAGCTGGAGCAGACTTCACAGTTTCTTACCTGAGCAAATTCATGGATTTTGTCACGGGTACAGCCTTCGAGGAAAGCTTCATCGTGGATTCAGAGGGGTTGATGATTGCAGCCTGTTCAGGCATCCAGCAAGTTGCCAAGCGAGTGGCTGTTTTCGACGATGGCCTGGTAAGACGTCCTTGGACCCAGCTTCCTTATGGCGCCGTTCAAAGCCCAATGAGTGCCTTTGGCTGCGAGCAAATAATGTATCGAATACTGATGCTGTTTGTTGGAGTCGGGAGAGTCAGGCAGAGTCAGGCAGAGTCAGGCATTTGAGGCTCAGGTTGCAGACCAGATTTGCAATGTTTTCAACTGCGGAACCAGCAGCTTCGTAGGAACTCTACTGAACTCGTACGGCTCCTTGGACGACATTCCTCTGAATGGGACGATGATGAGCGATGATGGCATGTATCTATTCACGTTTATGCAGGGACTCGCATCCTTTCAGGCGCGGGCTTTGCTGAACTTCAGAGCAACCTGAAAGAGTGGTCCAACAACAACTCCCCAATTAGTGAAATTGAGCTAACTTGAGAGCCTGTTGGAATCTGCAATTGATCAGCCTTTGTGCAGGTCCGAATTCTAAGACGCCGTGGGTAAGAACTCTGCCCAAAACTAGTTTGACCGTTGCACGGCCGCCATGCACAGATAGGAATCTGCCTCGCCCATTGAGCTGCATAGGCCTTTGGAAGGCCTCCGAGATCGTGGAAAAGAAGTGCGTATTTGTGAAGAGCCCTTTGGCGCAGACCTGCATTGGCAGCGGAGCTGAAGAGCTCGGCCTTTGGTCCTTCTCGATCGCTTAGTTCGGGGTCCTCGAAGGAATCAACTTGGTCAAGCTGAGCTGCGCGGAACTTCGCGTTGTTGGCGGCCGTCTTTCCTGCACAGAAGGAGCATCTGGGATGGAGAAGCCAGAGGATGGCGTCGCCACACCGGGGAAGCTGCGTGGCGCGCAAGCGCGTGCTGGCTCGGCACGACCAAGCTGATCCATCGTTTCGCCTGCAAGGCTTTTGAGTCATGTCGCGGCATGAGCCTGGACAACGTGAGTGGTGTGCCTCCCATCCCTGGCAAGCGATCCACTGGTTCGTCAAGAGCCAACGCAGGCCTTTCTGGCTTTGCAGCTCTGGGATACAGCGATCTCGTCGAGGGTGCAGAGCCCTCGCGCGAAGACAAGAAGTTGACCTGCCTCCCGAAAATGAGGATCCTGATGAACCTCATCCAGAAACACCGGAACCCCAGGCCCAAAGCAACTGCGCCTTATGGCCCTGTTCACCCATTCACCCACCCCAAAAAAATATGGAGGAGTCAATAGTCGGATGCTGGAGCAGACGGCACCTATTTCGTCAAAGATCTGGCACAGACATGGGCCTTGAAATGCTGTGCGCAATATTGGCGCTTGCTGAACTGGTGGTAAAAACAACTCGGTGATTGGCGGGCAATGCTTCGAATAGATTGGGACAGCCGCCTGCAAAACCTTTGCTCTGCCGTAGTTGTTTTCATTTCTGCGTCCGTGAGGGAAGATGCCCGGAAAACAAGATCAAACAGGATCTTGTCTCGCCCCTCGGCAAGAGGATCTTGTCTCGCTTCGTCAAGATCTAGGGCAAAGGCTTCAAGAAGGCCGGACGACCTGTTTGGGTCGGACCGCAGGCTGGACGGGTCGTACTCGGCAATCACGAGAAGGAGGGCGACCCAAGACATCATGTCGTTTGGGTTCTCAACATGGAAGTCACTCGCAGGCCTTCTTCCTCACAAAGCTTTCCAAAAGTCGAAGCGAAGAATTTCCTGATCCAGGCAAGCCTGAAGAACGTCATCTAGCACAAGAACCTGATGCCGCCGCAATGGCTCCACTACGACGGGTGACGGGTAAGCAAGCTCTGACTCCTGACAACGACAGAAGATCCTCCCGCAATGCCGCCACCGCTACCGCCTTTGCCTTCGCGACCTGGTGCATTCTTCTCAAGCCGCTCCTGGAGTTGTTGGTTTGGACCTCGATCACGATCGCGTTAACGGCTACAATCCTGCTGAGGCTCCTGAAAAATAAAGCTCGTCACAAGGCTGTGGTCTCAACTGAGGCTCAGATGACCCAACAAGCAGCGCAAGCTCCTTGCCCGGTAGCCTGCCTAATCCAAAAGAATCCAAAAGATGAACTAACTCATCAGAAGTTCAGCGGCAGAAGCTCACGAATCAGCAACGCAAGCTCTTCGAGCGAGAAATCCAGCTCCTTCTTGAAGAACCGAGCCGCTCTCCAATGAGACTGTCGCTAGAACCCACAACCAACCGATTTTTCAATTCACGTTGGGTTCTCACAACCCGCCTGAAGTTGCTGAGGCTCGGGGAGGCGCCGCCAGAAACAACGAGACAATCAGCGCTGCCGACGGTCACACAGCAAAAGCCCCCACAGCGTGTTTCAGCGTCCAAGCTTGCTGACAACATTCAACGCCCATCGCCTGCACAGCCACGCGCTAGCGCACCTTTTGGAAGGTCTGGGTCTTGCAACTGCTATCCTTCAAACGCAACCAGCGGCTCCAGAGATCTGGGCCACTGGCGTGGGAGATCTGCCTTGTTGTCGAAGAAGACACTCGCAGACACTCCAGAACGAACCACTGCTCCCCCGTGATCTCTGGTCGGATCTACGCAAGACCCTGATCCGCGCTCTTCGTGCCTGCGGCGGCTTTTCACAAATATCCATGGATGCTACAGAGCAGTACCCCCCACTGCTTGGAGCAATGGGTGGTCATGTAATGCGAGAATTGAAAGCATGGGAGGACTAAGAAGAAGCACTTCAGAAGCCATCAAATAATGCCAGAGATGAAATGGAGAAAGAAGAAGCTCATTAGCCAATTGAGTTGCAATTGAGTCGCGCATGTGTGTGGAGGCCCCCGAGATTGTGGAAAAGACACAGCGAGCATTTGTGGATCACAACGCGCGCCCGCCCGTTGCAAAATCCGCATATGATGGAAAGCTGAACGAGGCCAAATGAAGCAAGTTGGATATTGGCCAGGCTTAGTCCCGCTAGCCTCGCAAAAGGGTAGGGTTTCTGCTAAACCCCCACCACGCAGGGCCATGTCCTTCCCACATGGGAGAACATGGAAAATTTGGAAGATGCAAGGAAAACGGGTAGAGATGGGAAGAGGATGGGAAGAAATGTCGAAAATAATGGAATCAGACATGCAGAGGGGGAAAAGGAGATGTGGGAATAAGGTTGGGCTGGGGGATGTTCGGGCTGAAGAGTCGTCATGATAGTTTTCACGACAAACTTGTTTTGTGAGGAAGGACTGATCGAGCAGTTGCCTAGGATTGAGCCCTCCCGCTCCCCAACAATTCCCCCCCGCCCCCCAAAACACTTGCGATTGATTGCAGGCCCGGCAGCGCTGGATCCTAGTGGTATCTTGCCCGGTCGGCACATACATGAAAGAGTCCTGGATTCAGCAGGCTTGGGCGGCGCAGCAAAGTGCCGCAGTACAGCAGCAGCTTCAAGTAGAGCTGTCCCAGCAGGTACTGAAAACCATTGTGACGTGTGCCGCATTTACACTTCTGGGTGCGTGCATCATGACTTGGGTGGGCATTGCTGTGACACGCCCCTTGAAGAAGATCTCCATGGATATGCTTTCAATGGCAAAGCTGGAATTCCTGCCACAAAGCTACTCTCGGACGAATTCGATGCGGGATTTTGGCGACAGGAGATCAACAACAAGCTTTGGGAGGTTCTTGTCGGCCCTCGTGGGGCGAGATCAAGATAGCGGAGGGAGTAGCAGCAGCGAGATGGATGGCGATCATAGCGATCCAGAATCGGATATTGAGGGAAGTATTGGCTGCAGCGCTACCCCTAAAGAAATCGTGAACATACGTGAGTCGTTTGTTTTCATGGTGGCAGGCTTGAAGTCGTTCGCCAGATATATGGACCCGGAAATCATGAGAATACTGATTCAAAGCAAGCGACAGGCTCAGCTTGGAATGGGCAAGGCAGATGTGACAGTTTTCTTCAGTGACATTGCAAACTTCACGACCATAGCTGAGAGCTTAGAGCCCGAAGTATTTCTCTCAATGCTTAGTGAATATTTGGACGAGATGAGCAAGATCATCATGTCCGAGCGAGGCGTTGTGGGCGAGTTCATCGGTGATGCCATCATGGCATGGTGGAATGTGCCCATTGATTTGGGCCAGGAGCACACAGCAATTGCTTTGCATGCAGCCCTGTCACAACAGCATCGCATGCGAGAATTGCGGGACAGCTGGGAAGAGCGTGGTCTGCCTGACGTCAGGGTCCGAATGGGCCTGGTTCGTGGCACCGTGTTGGCTGGAAACCTGGGAAGTTCCCAGCGCATGAAATATGGGCTGGTGGGAGACAGCGTGAACTTGGCCTCGCGCCTGGAAGGCCTCTGCAAGTACTACGGGGTGAGTATCATCATCGAGGAGGAGGCCTCGCGCGCGCACGGGGTCCGCACCAAGTTCCACCTGCGGCTGCTGGACTTGGTCACCGTGAAGGGCCGCACGGCGGCCACGGAGCTCTACGAGCTGGTGGCCGAGAAGTCGACGGATGGGGCGGAAGCGGAGGCGGAGGCATCGGAGGTGCTGTTCTTCGTCCTGGGCTTCCACGAGTGCCACAGCCTCTTCAGGGCGCAGCACTTCGCGGCCTGCGCGGAGCGCCTGCGCCGCTACAGGCAGACATTCCCGGAGGACGTGCCCAGCAAGTTGCTGCTGCACCGCGTGGATCTTTTGCTGAGCAAGGGCACTCCCCCGGGCTGGACCCCAGTTCATGTACTCACTGAGAAGTAAATGTGTGAACATGGTGAACCTACGGGCCCAATGCTGGCCATGGCTTATTGCTGGCAGTATTGGCTTACGATTTGCCCAATGGCACAAAGTCTGTCATTTGGCACAAGGAAGGACGGCTCCAAGGCGAGGTTGCACTGGCAATGGCTGTCCGCCATCAAAGAGCCGCTTACAACAAGCGGCCAGTGTGTACCGCCATGGCGGCCTTGGCCCTGCCAAACAATGGTGTTCGGCATTCACGGAGCAATGATTGGCGCGTTGAACAACATTTACTTTTCTGGTGGCTGGATACTTTTGTTGTGTAAGTGTTGCCACATTGCCGGCGTTCTGATGGCAACTCCTCAGCTGCCTGGAGCCAACTGCGTTAGTCTTGTTGCTCGTCACATGCTCGCAGCTGTTTGCACTGTACGTATGCTTAGCATGCTTCGAGATTCAGCATACGCAACATTGCCCTCAAAGGGGCCTAGTTATTGCTGAGAATACGCAGTGATGATGGTTGCACTTGGCCCCTGAACGGAGTTTTGACAAACAGAAACAAGAGTCGTCAAGTCCTGTGCTGATTGTTTGTTTAGCTTCGTGAGACAATCCATGCGTCGCAATGGCTTGCGCACTTTCTCGCAAGGCGTTGATTTGCGCGGGCCTTTGGCGCTGTCCGTGACGCAGCGCGAGGGTGGAGCAAAGCCACCCCGCAGGCGAGGGCACGGACAGAAACACCCAGCGAAGCCTCCTAAGTGTCGGAACCCCGAGTAAACAAACCGGCTGGGCATGCTTGAGGTGTGTGTGTGTGTGTGTGGGTGTGTGTAGGTGTGTGTAGGTGTGTGTAGGTGTGTGCAGGTGTGTGCGTGTGCGTGTCGTTTGTTTGTTTGCTTGCCTTCCTTGTTTTGCCTTGCCTTGCTTGTTTGTGTGTGTGTGGTACTTTGTTTGGGGCAAGGTGCCGGTGCTGGGAGCGGTGAAGGTGTGTACCCTGTGAGGCCGCGGCAGCTGCTGCACAGTGCCGCCACAGGCCCGCCTCTGGAATCGCTGGAGGATGGTAACGACGACGCTGAGGCCCCCGTTGCAAGTCTTCCTGGCACCGCCGATAAAAATTGCGCCAAGGGGAGTCATATTCTCAAAGAGCTCAGCAAGACTGTTGACCGTGCAAGCTTGGCTGGAAGCTTGCGGTACAGGTGTCGGACATTCTCATGGAGCGCACTTTGCAGCTGGTGGCGCTGTTGCGTTACGCAGAGGAGGTGAAGGCGCCGAAAGGCGTTCCATGTGAGGGCAAGGTGGTGAGCTACTAGGTTTTACTCTGTGTTGCGCCATGCGGCACTCCGAGAGGGAGAGGGTGGAATCTATGCCTTTTTCTTTGAATGTGATGTATGCTCCAATTCTCCAATCAAAGGCTTTGACAATACACTGGCTTTCCTCCGCCGCTACCGGAAGTTTGTGAAGCAGCTGGGTTCCGAGCTGGCTTTGCCTCAGGTGATACTTGGCCGACAGGGGTGGTCATTTGCGTTTCATTTGCGCTTTGCGGGGCGAAGATGTTTCGCTGTTGGTCACGGGTTTAGCTAGACCCAGAGTGAGCCTTGTGCTGAAGTGGCGCAATTGCGGATGCACCTTTACAACCACCGTGTCCTACGAAAATGGAATTTGAGGACATTCCATTGGACTGCTGAAGAAAACTTTCAGAGCATCGTGGACGCTTGGAGGAATTAAGCTTCAACTGAGCATGTGTATGTGTGCCAAGGTTTTTTGAGGGTTGCAGCCCGCAACACAAGCAAGGAGAGCAACTTGAAGGTGCCCAACGCTGATTCCAGTGGTGTCAAGAAGAAGCACGGGGCAGCCTTCGGCCGCGGTATCTACACCGCCCCAGACTACAAGATGGCAAAGGAGGATGGGCTTCTTCTGTCAAACAGTCTCATTTGGAATCAAAATCCATTTTCCGCACTAGCAACTCATGTCTTCTTTGTGCTGCCATCGGCCTCTTCATGCAGGACTTCTCCTATGGCGCGAGCACCACCTTCGCCTGCCTGGCCATCACAGGTCGGCAGATGACACGGCAGCATGGCAAGGAGCTGGGCAAAGAAAGCCGTGCCGAAATCATCCGAAATCCGTATCTGTTGAAACATCCGAAATCATCAGTATTTGCTGAGGTTCATTTTTGTTTATTTGCTGCATTGACCTCTCCAGGGCCACGGGCTTTCCGACTGCCGCGGCGCAGACTTTGAGAGCGTGGTGGGGCGGCTGCCGGGAAGGAACTGCGTCACTTGGGTGCTTCCATCCAGCGAATCTTGACGGTCGCACTTGTCATGTTTAGTCATCTTCATTGGTCAGCCAGCAAGTCTTAGATGTTAGGTGAGCACGTGAGGCAGGCCAAATCGTTTCGCCATTTGGGAGACTTTCTCCCGTGCGTGGGGGCTGAGGATCAGATTCTTCCCTGCTTCCTGGTGGATGAAGTTGCTATTCCCGCAGCTGTCGCAAAGCTCCGAGAAGCCATACTGCTGATACGCGAGCCCTGGCCAGAAGCCCCCTCGCCAGCGCCATCCGAGCTGGCTGGGATGGAGGGCCTGGATACGGAATCTCGGAGCTATTGATCGAACATCGCAAGCTACGCAGCTTGCTCCACTCCGAGGGTCATTCTGCGGCCCAGTTCGCTTCCGAGGACGAGCGTGTGCCAGATTGCCCCCAAGATTCCATGGGATCACGCTGGCGGCGCGCGGACAGAGGTCGCTTGCATTGTGTGCAGTTCAAAGGGTTGCATGTGGAAGCTCGTTCAATCCTGAGGCTACAGCGCCGCAGCTGCATGCCCCGACCGAGAGGATGAGACAGATGCAAAGGAGGCTAATCACTTCTTTTTTCTGCGCAAAAATCAGCCAAGCAAGCTGGGCCTTTCTTTTGACTTGACAGGATGGCAACAGCAACGAGGTGCCGTATGGAGGTGACCTTCAAGCCGCCATGCGGGCACAGGCTGGATGTCTTCATTTCAGCGAGCGCAATAGTGTTACCAAGGACCGATCTGCCATCAAGCTGCTCATGGCCTTGCGTGATGCCAAGGCCACCAGCCAGGCGGGTCGAAAGTACCTCAACACTCGGACCACCTGACGTTCACTGAAAAAAAGGCAGCCACAAGAAGGAAACATTGCTTTCTGGCGCCTGGGTGATCATTGCTTATTTTCATGCGGGCTGCAAGGCCGTGTGCGAAATGTGTAACTTCAAGGAGCGTGAAAGATTCCCGCTCGTTTTTGTTTTGCAAAGATTGCCGCTCTTTTAGTATTTTGCCCTCCCCCCCCCCCAAATACCGCATACAACATAAACGCACAACTCATTTTGTTGGATGTTTGCGGTCTCATTATTTATGATCACAAAGGCAAACACGCAAAGATTTTCATTGAGACAGGCCACCGCCAAAGGCGGTCGGCGCTGGGGAGCGCGGAACGAGGCACCGCGGCCCCTGGCAGCACGTTAGGCCTAAGGGCAGAAATGGCCGAATGGGCGTGGGTCAAAACTAAACCACTGCAGGTTTCAGTCCATGTGTCCATTCACTAGGGTCCATTTTGGGTGCCTATTTTTGACCCACTGCCAAATGCCTTTCCTGCCAGCACTCATGTCCCTTCGTGAGCCCAGGTCCGTGGGCCTTGTGCAGAAATGCGGGGATTTGCTGCAAGCGAGCGAGGACTTCATTGTGCATCAATGCAACTGTGCCCGGCCTTGGGCGGCTTCTGTTTGCAAAAAAAAAGTAGCTTTTGGTTGATACTTGCGCAAATGAGGTGTATATTCTGGCGCAGCACAAGGAATAGCTGAGGCCATTTTCAATGCCTTCCCCGCTGCAGATGCCTACAGAAGCCTGGCACTATTCAAGCATCCTGGAAGTTGATGCGGAGCGTCAATGCATGCCAGTTGGGGGCAAGCTCGGAACTTGGCCGCCGTGCCTGCGAAGCACATAGGCTCAAAGGATGAAAGCAAGAGAGACTTCAGGCATGCCGATGCGTTGCAATTTGCCCGAGCAGCAAGCTCCTCAACAGCAGCACTTTACATCAACAAATATCATCAGCCCACATCTTTGCCTAAACGCAGGAGCTGCATGTGCGGATCTTGCCCAGCCCACTCAAGGGGGCGAATGCATGTGAAGCGGTTCTTCATGAACGCCATCGGCAGCTGGACATGTCTTCGGAGATGTTGCCAGAGGATGAAAGGCCAGTTCTACTTAATGTCTAACACTCACAGCCCCGTGGATGCCAGATCATTTCGGTCAACTACCTCATTGACGGGTATGACGCTGCCCTTCCCAGCTACCCGGCTTAGCCATGGATTGCTGACAGGTGTTGTTGAGGAAAGTGCCAGATAGTGGCAGCCCGCGAACCTGCGTCGCTGAAATGGGTGAAGACAAATTAGGTCCAATCAAAGCAATCGCGCTTTGGGGGCCGCGATTTGAACAACTTTTGCTTCAGGGGTTTGTCAGTTTTTTCTGCTACACATTGTGGCACCGGGGTAAACGAATATATCGGCACAAGAAATCTTCGCTTGGCAGGCCGTGCCAAAAGAGCCAAGCTTTCCTGGGTGCCCAGCTGCAGTCAGATGCGCTAGGCTTGTGCCAATCCATAAGTGGCTGGGTTGAAGAACGCTTTGCAAGCGGCTAAGGAGGCCGCTGTCCACAGCTGAATTGCAACGATTTCTGGCAGAGGCGGGGTATGGGATTCTTTGCCGACAATGGCTTTGACATGCGCTCCGCACTCATGCGGGTGCATTGGCCGGCATGGCTCGAGCCATGAAACGAGGCCGCGCGAAACCAATCGGAGGACAGGGAAGCAGGTGAAGCATAGTGAAGCAGGCCATAGGCAACTGCGCCTGCCAGCTGCCAGGAGCAGCTGCCGCCATTGGCGTCGTTTTCGCGAAGCTGTCGATCGCAATTCAGATGTGGGGGGCCAAGTCCGTTGCACGCAGCGAGCAACACTGCCAGAAAATGTTCTGAAATCACGGAGGATCATGCTTGTTTCTTCACAGGTGCCCGTCATTGCCAAGCATCTGAAGACACAGTCCCAGCTGCAGCTGTAAAGGAGTTGATTATGGTCCCTTGGCTGCATCTGCTATCAGCGTTTACGGTGCATCTGAGCAGTGTTATTTGCATATTATCCTGCCAGCTCAGTCTGGCTTTGTGCTACCCTTTCGGTTTGGCAAGCAGGTGCTGACTGAAGCAAGACACAACCCATATTTTACATGAGCTGCAGCCTCCGAATGGATTGGGCACAGCAGCAGCTTTGCGTTCTGGAACGTTCTGAGCTGGATGCCTTCTAACTTGTTTGCCTGTCGCTTCAGGATGGCCGCAAGGTTTCCCCGGCTTTACGTTTGGTAAAGGAGCCTTGCCTGCTTCGTGCAAACCATGCCAGATGCACAAACCTGCGAGGACGCCTTGTGTAGATACCAGTCGGGCAGCACGCCCCAGCCTGCACAAGGCACGTGCAAGCCTGCTGCATTTCCTCTTTTGAGCTCGAGCCTTGTGAGTCCTCATTTGGGCACCAGAAGTCACATAGCCCACTATGTAATAAGGCTGGGAAACCTGCACTTCATTCTCAACCATGTGGGCAGGGCGAAACGGTGAATGGGTCAGTAGAGAGCGCCACTGTTACAAGAACATTCAGCAATGCATGAGGCAGGCATTTTTCACATGTCGATCGAGAACGTCTTGCCCGAGCTCGGCGGATCCTGCATCCAGCGCCAGAACTGTCCCAAGCCGACCCCCTGCCGATGAAGGACCACATGGCTCGAAAGCGAGTCATATAGAATCTGAAGCGAACAATTCAGCAAGAGACAGGCACCCGCGACACTGCTTTTCCGAAGGAGTCCGCTCGTGCTACTTCGTCTCGCAGCACAAGCGCTGGCCCCTCCACCTGTACACCTCTCACACGGCTTGTAACTCCGCCCAGCCGTCACTTGGACGGCAAGGACTGTTTCTCGTAATTTCTCGTCGTGCTACGAACTCGGAGCCAACAGAACAGCTTGGATCATGCGGCAAAGTCAGGTCCCACCACCAGCGGACCTGCGATTCCTGCTGAGTGGCAGGCACACGCGCGAGACCTAAACTCATCGGCAGGTCCGAGAACACATGACTCAGGCGCTGCCAAGGCGACCTGGCACCTCACCGGCATCACCACAGGCTGGGTCGCATGTCAACTAGGGCCACGACTTTTCCCTGCCTTGCGGACTGAGAGCCTCAAGCGTGCAATGCGTGCAGGCATCTCCCAAACGGCCGTCATTCGGCAGGGCGCTTGAAAGTTCGCCTGGAACATGTTTTGGTTTCGAGAGCAGCGCCGTGCAGCGCCATTTCATTGCGGTACGGATGCAAGCGCACAAGTGCCAGCTGGCGTACTTTGTGCCAAGGCATGGGCCCCCACAGAAGCCGGCAAAAGCCATTTGCTCGTGCGAACTTGCGATGCGAGTCATATTCCTCGCAGTGTTCTACAGACTCCCTATCCAACTTACAACGTCAAGGCTGGCATAGCTGCTTGACAGCTATTGCTACGAGTATTTGATGCACATGTTTCTTCCCACCAGGCCACCCAAGCCTGCCACCAAAGAAGATAGCATTGCGATTCCTGGCTGCATTTAGCATTGGCTAGCTGCTTAGTGACGTTGGCAAGAACAGGTTCAGCGACAATGAATTGGTTCAGGAATGGCCTTCTTAGCCGGCAGGCTGCACCAGAAGGCTTGATTGCATGACCCTCCAGTTGCATGAAGCCCTGCAGCCGCAGGTCTTCAAAATCAGAGCCTCCACTGCCGGAGAGTGTGACCTGGTTCCTGCGGCCGCACTTGACATTGCAGCTTTAATGCGCAGTTATGTTGGTAGCAACTGTGAAAAGGAAGCAACTGTTAATTATTTTTGGGAGCAAGTGTGAAGGTATATCATTGTATATCAGATGATCAGACTCGGCACCATTTTTGTTGCTGAGGCTCGGTCTTGCCGCAAGCGCTATTTTCAGACCAGGGTGCAACGGAACAAGGCCGAACAACTGCTGGAAAATCGTGGCAAAATTTCAAGCCACTTTCGGTTTGTTGCCACGGCTTGCAGGAAAAGAACATTGCAGCTGCAGCTATCCACTCAAGGTCACCTGGTTGCAGTCAATCTGCCAGAGCGTTTGAGGCAAGAACAACATGATAGGAGTGGTGGATGCAACAAGTGGAGACATTGAAGCCATTTTAGCATCAGCATGTTCACAGCGAATGTCAGCATGGTTGAACTTTGTCCCTGACGACATCTCGCCACTCAGCATTCAAGCCTGGGCAATCAAGTTCAATTTGTTGTACTCTCGGACACGGTCATGCGACAAGTTGGGGGTTGGTTGGGTCAAGCAAAGAGCAGAGGAGAGCAGAGGAAGCCAGGAGGAGGAGCAGGAGGAACAGCAGCACTATTGCAGCAACAGCATTGATCAAAAACCCTATTTGAGCCATTGAAATGCGCACGCCAAGATGGCACATGCTCAATTGCATCGGCTCACAGATGTTGGTAGATAGATGTTGGTGCCTGTACTAGTATATTTTTTTAAAACCAAACCATATGTTTGCATACGGGTACATTTTAGGCATTGAAAGCGAGTAGCGACGGAACTCGCAACAGCAACAGAAGGTACGGTCACAGTTTTACACAGCGAGTGGGCTCCAAATATTGTTCGAAAGCATCCCAGCAGCTTGCGATGCTTGAGTCACATTGAGTGTATGTCTGTGACCCGATGCTCCCGACTGCGCCCATTTGAGCCCTTGCTGGTGTCAGGCAGCTGGAGGAGTGGGGCAGCCCCACGAGCTCCATGACGGCAACTGCTGCCAGGCGGCGCGGGAAAGAGCCACTCGGCGTTCGACCTGTTGGTTCCAATGATGCGAATCGATGCGAGGCAAGGCTTGTGAGCTGAGTGGCATGGCAAGGACCGCGAAGAGCGACGAGGCTTTGAATCAGACATTCATCGAGGAGAGCCGAGCGGCGCCCCGTTCCCCTCACACAAGTCACGTGAAGCCATGAAGCAATGTGGGCATGTGTCAAAATAATGTCAAAGTAGGAGGGCCCAAGAATGGTGGTCGCCTTTTGCTTCCCTGTAAGCCAATCTAAAACGAGTAGCCTCAAGGACACCCACGTTGATGCTTTCGCGTTGCGATGTGTTGAGGGCCCCCCGTCTCAGACCCACAGGAGAAGCCCAAGGAGGAGGCGTAGCGCAGCAGCGGGGCCAATTTTGTTCCCATCTCGTTGCCGAGGCGCCAAGTGACGAGTCCAATCTCAATTTCACATCGATCCGCAGCTGCACCAAGAGTCTTGTGAAGGTGCGACTTGCTTCAGGCAATGTGTCGGGACCACTTGAAAGAAAGGCTGTTGGCTTCGCAGTGCGCAATGTTATCCAAGGTTCAAAGCACATGAACTGTCCTGTGACTACAACCTGCCTGGAGGGCATGTCACGCAGGCTGCTAGGCAAACGAGTAAGGCTTCATGGGAGAGGGGATTTGCCTATTGATTCTAAACGAGTGGAGGAAGACAACATTATGCACTTGATTGACAGGGGTTTGTTTTTCCTCAGCTGAGCATGGGGCAAGCCTCGGCAGGCGTGAGACCTCACAAAGGGCAGGTCGTTCGCCAATAAAGTGGAAACTGAGGCATGGAAGCTGTTCAAGCGGTATGATGCAGACAATGATGATCTTTTGTCTCCGCCTCCTGTCGCATTGAGCCAACTGAAGCACAATAAGGATACGATGTTACACATATCAACGCGCTCTGGGTACAGCTCCGCTCGTTTGGGTCTCAAGAAGTCGTGGTGCAGCCATGTAGCCAAGGTATGAATTTCAGCTTTTGCTAAGAGCTGTGCTGCGGGATCGGTTCCCCTCGGCAAAGGATGTTCCCCGAGAGCTGTTCAAGGACGGCCAAGCTTGCATCTGCAAAGCCATTAGTTTGCATTTCTCGCGACCGAATGGTTTTGGTGTTTGATTTGGCTCGGCATTGCAGCAAGTGCCAGCCAGCCAGCATTGAATCTCAACAATTGTTGATGAGCACGTTGGCCTGCTTTGCATTGAGGGCAAGCCAGTCCACCGCCAATCCAACTGTAGTCTCTTCAAGCAGGTTGCAGAATCATAGATCATGTGGAGGGTGCCTCGGCTGTCCTCCTCAGTTCCTCCTTGGAAACTCACCACCTGACCACATTTGACCCTTCCGTCAAAAAACTTGGCAGGAGGCGATCGACATCCAAGATACTGAGCTCACAGTCACGTTTGCAGACTTCCTCACTTGGATTTCACGCCATGCATTTCAAGAATGTCTTCTTCTTACTGACGACTCCTGCTCGCAATCGTTGAACTCACTGTCATGTTTGCAGCCTTTGTGTTGGAAAGGTGGACGGCCTGACCCCATGCCGCATGCATCACATGCCTGCATCCTGCCCCATCCATGCAGCCATGAAAGCGCTGTTTTTCTCCAAGGAGCAGCGATTTATGCGCCTAGTCGCCCGCAAGTTTCACATTGCGGTGACAGACATTGAGGATGCGCTTTGCTCAGAGCCGCGTTTGAGTCGGAAATCCCGCGTGTCCCTGGCCGTAGGTAAAGCGGCACTTTGACAGCTTTGCTAAGACTGCTGGGCAAATTGAATATCCCGAGTTCCGCGGCTGGCAAGGCAAGCACAGTGCCGTAAAGATGGGAGCACTTAGAGTTTCACATTTGCTTAACAGCTTCTAGCTTGGATGTCGAGGTTTTACAAACTGCTGGCCCTCCTCCTGAACTTGCAGGATGTCTCTGCGCTGCCGGAGACGCGGGTCAAGTTGCCTCCTTAGACCCCAAAGCCGCAGGTTGCTTTAAATTTGAGACGGGAGGTCATTTTGGCGGGAGCTGGACGAAAGCTGCAGTGGCAGCCTGGTCGCATCGGAGGAATGCAACTGCAACGACACTGTAACAGTTGAAGGGCATTGTGCAAATGGCTGCGCCATGCTGCAGCTGCACTGCATTGGTTTGGACCTCCATGCTTGTCCCCAGTGACGGGTACGAGCAGGCCTTTGGTATTTCCAACACATTGAGCGGTGCAGGTGTTGTGGAGTTCTCCGAGTTCATCCCATGGTACTTGGGCTACTTTGGTGGGGATGATGGCGCGCCGTTGGCCATTCGGCGCATTTGTAGAGGGCATGCACATCGTTGCCAGCACTTCCAACACCTTGGCTGAGGTGAACTTCTACCGCAAGATCCGACCTATTCCTATCATGGAAGATTGTACTTAGTGTTCTTAGCCGCTCAGATGCATCATGCGCAGTGCTGCAGCCAGAGCCAGCATCATGCTGCGTGTGCGGTGCAGGGATGTCACAAGCAGTCAATATTTGCAGCCTTCCGGCAGCTACACACGTCCGGGAGAGGTCCTGCAGAGTTCATGCTTGCAGCGCAGAGGTTATGAAGATTCCTGATCCGAATGAGCCTCAAAGGGTGCATTCTTCGAAACTGAGAGTGGCAAGAAGCTGCTGGAATCGTTTCAAGGGTGCCTGCCCGTGCAGCAAGCAAAGTTTCACAGGCCCGCCGAATGGTGGTGCTTGATGTGCTAAAGCTGATTAGTCATCTCAGAATTCTCGGAAAGAGTATCACATTGTTGTATGACAAACAAAAATAGCTTGCGGCCAGAAGCGAGCAGCGCAGCCCGAACGCCAAGGCCTGCCTTTATGTAACGCATTGCCCAATGAGTGGCGCTGTTAAGGTTCCAAAGCAATGCGCAAAGGGGCAGCGTGCAAAATAAACGGGGCGTGAAGAGCATTTCCGTGAGAGACAGTGAACATGTTTGCTGTGGCCAAGGGAGTCGAGCAGAGCAAGGCCGTCCGCATGACATACCAGGCACTATCAGCGTTCACGGCCGCATTGTGAATGTGTATGGCCAGTTGCAGCCCGGCAAGTAAGTACATGGGTTATTCGTTGCAAGCAAGCCGAGAGCACGGACATGCACGGACAGAAAGTACACAGCTTGCAAACGGCGTTCCGTCCAAGGCTTCCAGGCCGCCCAGTCGACGACGCGCCTTCAGGGGGCTGGTCTGGCACCGGACGCTTCGTGACGGCAGCGAAGGCTGCTGAGGATAGCTGGGGATGCTGGGGCAGGGCGCCATAAACACAAAAACCTTGAGTGCAAAGTGGGGGCTCTGCTATTCTCACCCGAGCGCTCAGGACACACGTTCCAATCGCTTGAAGTGGTTCGAGCAGTGCTTCCCGCCAGCATGGTGTTTTCTTATATTTCAGGACATTTGGTTCGCTGTTTCGCTCGGTTTTTAGTTGCGGATGCAATGTGACTGCTGGAAAGGTCTGTTTTCCTGCCCCGGTTTATCTGGCTTGCTCTAAGGCCTGGATGCGTTGCCAAAGAACCTGCCTTCCCGCTGCAGTGTTGCCTTCCCTGCTCGAATTGGCTGTGGCCTTGCTGGGGGCGATTGGTCACGGCGGCTCCCATTGCAAAGAGCAAGGCGTTTTGAGACTGCAAGCGACACATGCGCGCAAGCTAAGGTACCTTGCGGCTTTAAAGCGATTCAGCGAGGCAGCAGTTGCGTTGTTCATGCTTGATTGCAACCAGTCGCCTACGTGAGCCCAGTGAATCCCAGTGATGTGTAGGCGTGCCCGAACTGGCAAGTGGCCATTTACGACATTGAGAGTTGCCAACCTGCAACTCGGCAAGATAATCAGAGTCGCGTTGTAGCACGCTTCCACGCCACACGACTTATGACCTTGCCTGAGGAGCCTCCAGCCAAACCGATGACACCCCTTATTCGCGACGTAAAGCCAAAAGACCGCGGGTCCGCGGGTCAGTTGCCCAGCATCGCGACGGCAAAATGAGATTAGCTTCATGAGGGGCCTTTGCTAAAGCGCTGCTTGAGGCTCTGCATTCTGGAGCAATGCCGTGTTCGAAGTTCTGAGAGGTGGCGAGTGGGTTGCCTACTCCAAGGCGTGGCAAACAGCTGCCAGCTGTATGGGTTGATCGGGTGTTGTGGTTTTCTACCGGCGCATGCCGGCGCACTCAAACTTTGCTTTTTAGGGTATCCTTTGCATCACGGTTTCAGAGGGAAGCGATGACGAAACCGCTTATTCTTCTTGTGCTTCGTCGTTTTGGCAGGGGACGGGGGTTGTGTTAAAACATACATACACAAGTGCTAGCGCCAGCTCCTGAAGGCTCTCCAAGCTGAGCTTCGCTCTGCATTGCAACGAGAGGATGATTGCCTGGTTCCCAGAAAAGATGCAGTGAGGCACATGATGTGTCGCTTGCTCGTCTTGTTATTCGCCACACTCGTTATATCCTTGGCACCAGGCAGGGAAATCATGGTGGACAATGAAAGGCGGCAGGCGCTGTCCATGCTGGCGGAAGTGGGCGCATGTCCGAGGCAGGGCGGCGTGCTCCGTTGGGCCTGGGTCCGCCCCCCATGCAACCATCAGTACGAAGCTTGCGACGTCCAAGCTGGTGCGGCAGCAAGTTAAATGTGCCAGGTCGCTCGGAGGTGGTGTCGAGTCCAAAGCTTTGGGCCTGCGCGTCCACTTGGACGGCTGCCTGGCTAAGTTGCCTCAAGGCCAGTGCCATTTACTTACTTTAGGGTTACAATGGTAGCATGCAGAGCATGCATGGCATGCATGGCATGCACAGCATGCACAGCATGCACAGCATGCACAGCATGCACAGCATGCACAGCATGCATGCATGTCAACAAGGAGTTGCTTATCGCAAGGGACGGGAGCATGGCCTACCGAGTGAGACGAGTGGATTGTTTTTGCAAACCGCACGCAGTGGGCCGTGGTGTGGCCGTTAAGAATTGCGTGGATTTAAGAGCGAACAACTTCGACCTGATCACACAATATCACAATCAATCGTCCCCATCCAAGCCTATCAGCAAACAAAGCTCGGCTCAAGCTGCATCTACCGCAATTACCCAGCTTCGAGCACACATGGCAAGTAGGGAAACTGCTTGGCTCAGATGGACTGATCGGAGCGAAATTTGGGCTGTTTTTCTCCAGGGCAAATGTTTGTCTTGCATAGATGCCACTCCCAAGGTGACAGCGGCCCCGAAGAAGTCGATTTGGCTCCGCTAGTTCGCGCAGCAGACCACGGCAGCTTTCTCAGGTCTAAGAAGATAGGGGAGTCACCCAAATCCGTACCCCTAAATCCTGAAAGGGTACTGTAGGATGAATGGGATCTTTTCACTAGTGTGGGATTTGCGGGTACGGAAATTTTTAAACCCCCCTCAAGATCCTGAAAGGTGACTAGTTGAAACGGAATTCAGGCGTTTGCAGTAGCTTGCTCGCATAAGGCGAATCAGATGGCGCTTGCGGCAAATCTGCTGTGCGTTTGTGGCTTCCGGCAGTGCGCGAAGGCTTGGCCCATCGAACCGACAATCCTGGAGCATAGGTCCTTTTGGTCAAAGTGCAGGCCCAGGTCCTTTGGTTTTGGTCTGTCAGGTGAGCTGCGCTTGCCAGCGGATCTAGACATCGGTGCCAGTCCCACACCCCGCGAGTGCGGCTGCGTGGCTGAGCCCCCGCAGCTTGGCACCCTTTACGAGGATGTTCATGGCGCTTTGCCCACTTGAGTTGGCCAGTCCGGTTTGGTGCAGTGCTTTGCAGCCCCTTCCTTACGAGGCAATCCGATGCCTGCGGCATTTGCCTGGGATGCTTGGCCCGCTTGTAGCTTGACATTTGGCGCAAACTGACAAAAACTGCTGCAAGGAGAGCTGAAGCGCCGTCCGATGGCTGTGCTGCGGCGGCTTTGACGCATCGGTAATGACATTTGCTCCTCGTTTTGCGAACTGCAGGCTGCATTGTGGCCACTTCTTCCATGAAGCCTGTTTGGAGCGGTGGTTCGAGGAGCGGAGGCACGGTCGGTTGTTGTGAGGAGAGTGTCACCATGTGTCACTTGGGTGGGACCGCTCAAGGCGATGCCCTAGCTGCAAGAGGCGCTTTGGCCATTTGGTGGGCAACCAGCCGCTTAGCCGCCTTTTTAGCGCTCTCTGCACCAGGCTTGCGCTTCAGACGTGGAAAACTAGAGAACTCGCCAAAAAAAGCAATGGGGAGCTTGAGGCCGAGTATTGGTACTATGAGCTGGCGACTGGACAGTCGTGTCCGGCTTTCTGGACATCCAGACGCTAGCATTGCATCAGGTGCAGAGCAAGAAACATGATGTTGATTTGCAGCGTCGTGCAATGTTGCCTCTCTGTGAGCAAGGACAGCTTCACAATAGTGATGAGCTTTCGTTTTCCAGCAGGACGAGATGCTAATGGAGAGTTCCTTGACAGACATGGCTACAGGGATTCACGCTTTGCGAAGATTCAGCTGGTTGATTTTTCAGTCAGGCTCACGAACATACTGCATCAAAGGTCCTATGTTGGCCGGACACAGCTGCTGGGCTTGACATTTGTCAGAGTGTCGAAGCAAGCATCAGTGTGACACCTGTTAAATTATCAATGCCGCTCGTGGAAAGAATGGAGATTTGACCGTGGTTCCATTTGTTTTACATTGCTGTCAAAGTATTGCCTGGATATGCTGTGCCTGGATTGTCCAACCTGGGCAGGAGTTTGCAAGCCTAGGCAAGCATTTCTTCCACATGATGAGAAGGGAAAGCGGCTCGGTCCCAACTCATTTCAAGACATGGTTCGGCCGGCCGTGTCTATGCCCTCGTTTGTCGTTGCACCATGAGGCTGCTTCTGGCACTATTTCAGCTTGGCTTTAGGCGGTTTACAGTGCAGATGTCCTGAGAGTTGCGTCGAGCGTAGCTGTTGGCATGTGGCTCACTACAGATGGCGAACTTGCTGGCAAGGCGACGCGTGCTATTCGATCTACGTGTCTCTGCTACCGAGAACAAGTATTGGCCTGCTTTCAACATCCACCTCAAAACAGCTTCTTGCTCTCAATTAGTTTGCTTGCATGTTGTAAGCGAAAGCCCGGCGATTGCTTTAGGCAGTTTCTGGCGGGCCTGAGCGGTTTGGCTTTCCAGATGATGGCTATGGTCAGCGAGTGCTGGAGGAGAAGAGTACTTGCATGCCAAGTGTCGCCTTTGATCAGACAGAGGCATGCCAACGCAATCCAAGGAGCTGCGAGAGAACGGCGTGACAATCGCTGAGCTGTGACTTGACCGACCATCAAGCTGCGTTGCATCATTGTGTATTGCTAAATTAGCTAGGTATACCAAATATGTGGCCAACATTATTGCCTTGAGATAATGTGTTGGTGCGCATTTTCTAGACGGGTTCGTCCTGTCTGACGGACTCCAGACTCCACGTGGCAGTACAGAGGGGTCTGCTTGCGGTGTTCACCTTTGGTTGACGCCTGGTGCTGGTTGCCTGGAAGTGGCCCAAACCTTGAAGGTGGACCAAAGCAGTAGCTCAGCAACAGCAACCAGCGTCAACTTGAAAGGAACATTCCCTGCGCTATTGTACAGGCAAGGATGGATGCAGTTCCAAAAGCGTGCTCAAGGCATGGGTAGTCGCATGGGTTGACCTGGCATGTTGCCCGACTCTTGACTTCTGTTGGCGCAAAAGCTATGGAGACAAGCGCATGACAGCACAACGAGAAAAGCCATGTGATAGAGAAGGAGCATAGCGGCTCCATTCCGATGTTCTAAGTTCTAAAGAGAAATGAGCCGGCAATCATGCATCCACGGGATCGATTTTGCGAGATTTCCTTGCGCCATGCTTCTTGCGCAACATGCTCTGATCAGAGCTTGTGCGCCATGATCAATTTTGCGCCACTTGGTGGAACCAGCTGACTAGTTGCACGCTGTGCAGAAGTCAGGCATGCGAGAATGCGCTGTGAGGCCTTCATATACGTACAAAGCAGTTACGCCTTTGGCAAGTGGCCGAGATGCCGACTGGGAGTGCAGCACTCAGTACGGGACAGGCGTACACAAATCATTTGGCTGCAGCTGCGCTGCTATTCTAGTGCCCTCAATTGCCAGCAGCTGCTGTCTAATAGTTGGCTGCCGCCACTAGGAGCAGTTATTGGACGAAATTGCCGCCCACACGGACGAAGCGCCTTGCATACAAAAAAACGAGATGTCATGGCAAAATTGGGGGGGGTCCACGCCACATGGAAGGCACACATAGTGGGCAACAAAGGGGAGGACGTAGCTTGCAAGATGTATAGCCCTCCCTTTCAACGTGATACTAGGGCCTAGCTAAATTTGGATGCAATAAGAATTCGCTGTTCTTGCTAAGGGATCATCTAAAGCTTGCTTTCTTGCTACAGGAGTTTTTGTCAGGCCCCCGTGTGTGTGTGTGTGTGACAGCAGAATTGGAAGCAGCAGTGGGGACGACCACACGAAGCCAATGAGATATTTTACACACATGTAAGACAGCTAAGGACGCTGAAGGCGCTTTTTCCAAGGGGATGTTCATCCGACTCTTGGCTTGCATGCTCAGACCCGCCACTGCTTGACAATGAGAGAGTCATTCGCGATTGACTCTTGTCGATGTACCACAACGGAAACTTGTGGAGACATGTTGCCTGTCCTCAGGACTCAGCCCGTTCTCGACTGTTGAAATGGAGTGCATCTGTACAAAGACTCTTGCTGGCACTTGAGTTTGTGTGGCACTGCTGTGTGCGGCTTGACACCGGCAGCACATGACTCCTGCTACAGCAATGCATGCCACCATATGTCTCGTTGGACTCGTTGCAAAACGCGGAAATTGGCCATGCACCGCCTCCCTTTGAATGAATTTGAGCGAGCTGGGAGTAGAGCTGTCAAGGCCTCTCTATGGATGTAGAGCTCAAGGTGACCCTGTCTGCTGGCTATCAGCAATCAAGGACTCCCAACTCACAACCGCCTACTCATGCTGTGTGCAAGGGATGCTGTGCATGGCAAGCACTGCTCCACAGGCTGGCCGCTGCTTTCGGACAAGACACTATTCCTCGTTGCGCTATCCATGACGCATGGCTGCAGTTTGATGTGCAAGCTTGCCAAGCTGGAGGTTGGCAACACAAGTTCCAAGCCAAGGTCTGGGCAGAAGCAGCGGATGGGACTCAGCTGGCCGAAGTGTGGGGAAGCGCAGCTGAGCTGAATGTGCCTGCGTTGCAATGTCCATATTGCTGTGGCTGAGGTTTGTCCAAAGAATACGCTGAGCGCAGTCTTCGTGCATTGGCTACCTGTTTGCATGCCCCTCTCTCGCCTTCTTCACTCTGCATGTGCCGCCTCAGGATCAGCCGCGCCAAATCTATACCAACAGTCCCAGGGGATGATTGGAGATTGATGGACGCTTGCATGACAAGACTTGGCTCGTTCTGCGTGGGTGGCATGCAAGCAAGGTGTGTGTGTGTGTGTGTGTTTGTGTTTGTGTTTGTGTTTGTGTTTGTGTTTGTGTTTGTGTTTGTGTTTGTGTTTGTGTTTGTGTTTGTGTTTGTGTTTGTGTTTGTGTTTGTGTTTGTGTTTGTTTGTGTTTGTGTTTGTGTTTGTTTTTGTTTGTTTGTGTTTGTGTTTGTGTTTGTGTTTGTGTTTGTGTTTGTGTTTGTGTTTGTGTTTGTGTTTGTGTTTGTGTTTGTGTTTGTGTTTGTGTGTTGTGTGTTTGTGTTTGTGTTTGTGTTTGTGTTTGTGTTTGTGTTTGTGTTTGTGTTTGTGTTTGTGTTTGTGTTTGTGTTTGTGTTTGTGTTTGTGTTTGTGTTTGTGTTTGTGTTTGTGTTTGTGTTTGTGTTTGTGTTTGTGTTTGTGTTTGTGTGTTTGTGTTTGTGTTTGTGTTTGTGTTTGTGTTTGTGTTTGTGTTTGTGTTTGTGTTTGTGTTTGTGTTTGTGTTTGTGTTTGTGTTTGTGTTTGTGTTTGTGTGTGTGTGTGTGTGTGTTCAGTGGCTTTGAGCTGATTGCAAGCAGCCAACGCATTCACATCGGGCACTCGGCCCGAGGCGACCGCTGAAAAGGGCAAATGCCCTTGGACAATCCCACAGGCAGGGCCCAGTGGGCATCCTTAGGAAAGGGATTGAAGCAGCTCATTCCAGATTGCACTTTGCCCCATGTGCTCCCACTTTGTGCACCCATTGTATGGCATGCCTGTGCGGTACACACACACAGGCGCATGTCTGAAGACTCACAGCTGCACAGTCAATGCGCACCATCACCTACTAGGTAATGTTGGACCCTTCTGAATCTGATCCCCCCCTCTAAGACTTTTTGGTGGCCATTTGGTGCAAGTGCTTAATTTAGAATGGCAAATTCTCAATTTAGTATTGCCAAGATTTGCTCAGTTGCCAGATGTCAGAAACACACCAATTTAAAGTAAAGGCCAAGGCTTTGATAAAAAGGATCACCCCCCCCCCAAAAAAAAAAAAAAAAAAACTTTGCAACCAAATTGATGAAGTCCAATGCCTTTTTAGGCGTACACAATGAAGGCTCTGTAAAAAAACACACGCACACACACGCCTTCATAGCCTGGTTTCGTGTCTACTCTTG